CTAATTTGTTGGGTCATTTGGCCAAAAAGTGTCTTAAACGCTAAAGTATATAGTAAATTATTATTATTGGGTTGATAACTCCGCTGGGTCCTAAGGGTGAGAAGAATCTCAAATATGTCTATCATTTCCCCATAAAAAACTGCAGATAAAAACAGTTTCTCAACTTCTGTTAATTTCTATATATAGATCGACTATGAAGCGCGCATTTGTATCAAATTAAGAGTGGTGGTGAAACTGATATTAAAAAAAACACAAAACGCAGAGGAAATATATATATAAAAAAATAATAATAATAAAAAAAAAACAATAACAATTTTATTGCGTTAGAACCAGGGGCAGATTTTGTGATTTTGGGGCCCTAAGCAATTCCAGCCAAAGGGCCCAAGTCCTGAAATGCACCCTTTCTACTTTTATTTAATATTTATTTATATTGCTGTTTTTCTTTAATCACTCAATATTCTGTTTGACATTTTAAATTGATGCAAAGCTCTACATTTTAAATGATTAGTTTTCTTAAAATGAACTTACAACTAAAATAAAACTTTTTTTTATAAATTTGACTGCTGGACTGCTTAATGATATATATTTGATTTTGTAATATTATTACATAACATTACATTATAAATACATTGCATTAATTACATTACATTATAATATTAATATTATATTTGATTGTTTATTAAATAATATTTACGTAAAAATTGTATTTGTTTAACTCACCATACAAAATATGGTAGAAAACGATGTTATATATAGTTTCACTCTAAAAAACGTCGAGTTATTTAACCCAATGGTTGAGTTGAAAATATTTGGTGCTTTGTTGGGTTATTTTAACCTTTATTAGGTTATTTATTTAATAACTCAACCAGTTGGGTAAAATATTTGAATTTCAAAAGTTAATTGATTCCACTGACACAGAACAGCAGTGTGTTGATAAGAGTGCGTAATTGTTTTGCGTTTTAACGTTTATTTAGGCTCAAATGCAATAATATTTTTGTTATTTTTTATCATGTCTAACTTTCTCTAGTGATTTTTATATCCATTTCACCAGCACTCTCAAACGCTTCGTTAACCGATCTATATTAAACAGATAAAAACAGTTTATCTACCTCCTGTGTTCATCTCTACATCTTTTCGGGGGGATTGATACACGTATTTGGAGACACTGCTCGCTGCAGAGCCACTTGAGCACCAATGAGGGGGAGCTTGAGCTCCAACTCCTCCTCCTATTAGCTGTTTTAATGCGTACACCTGCCCCACCACCCATAACCCCCAGTGACACCACTTGTAGAAGAAGTACAAGGGAGGAGGAGCTGGAGCTCAGCTCTGCCCAAGTGGCTCTGCAGTGAGTACCACTTGCATTTTTGAGATATTTGGCCATCATTCTTGCATTTAAGACCCAACATCAACCCGGTGTCGCGTACAGTATTGTTGAAGGTATGTTGGCTTTTTACAAAAAACATTACCTTTTGCTTAAAAACTATATTGTAGCATTTAAATAGTACACTCTAAAAAACGTTGAGTTATTTTTTTTAACCCAATGGTTAAGTTAAACAAATTTGGTGCTTTGTTAGGTTATTTTTAACCTTTATTAGGTTATTTAATAACTCAAGCAGTTGGGTTAAATTTTAGAATTTCAAGTCAACTGATTTAACTGACACAACAGCTAATATGTGTACTTAACGTTGTTTTAGCATTGTAAAGTTTATGTAAGCTGTAACGCAATAATAATGTTGTTATTTTTTTTTTTAATCAAATTACCTCTTCGTGTCGTGTTTATATTCTTTCCACTAGTACTCTTAATTATTGATACAAATGCACACTTCATAGCCGATAAAACGCTTTCTCTACCTCTCGTGTTCATCTCTACAGTTTTTTTTTTTTTTAAGGAGGAAATACACATTTTTGGGATATTCAGCTTTCATCCTCACCTTTAGGACCTAGCAGAGACATTTATTTATTTACACAGCCATAATTTTTAAATTATTAGTAGTACTACAACAGTAATACATGAATGAAAAAAACATAACATTTAAAAATAATACAATGCATTGGGTTAAATTGTATAACCCAATGCTTTGGGTTAAAATAACCCATAGTTGGGAAGGTGCTATAATAACCTATAGTTGGGTTATATGTTGGGGTATTTTTAAACCTTTTTTTTTTATTTTAGAGTAGGTGTAATTTATACTTCTAGATGTTTATTGGGGCCCCAAGATTTCCTGAAAAATACTTAGTGGTTAAATCCGCCCCTGGTTAGACCTTAAAAAAATCTAATAATGCAAAAACAACATACATACGCATTTAATACAGCTGTTCTGTGTTAGTTAAATCAGTTGACTGTTGAAACTCAACATTCGTAACCCAACTAGTGTAGTTAATAAATAAATAACCAAATAAAGGCGAACAATAACCCAATTAGGAACAGAATATTTAACCAAACTGCTTGAGCTATTAATAAATAAACCATTAAAAAGTATGTATATATGTGTATATATATATATATATATATATATATATATATATATATATATATATATATATATATATATATATATATATATATATATAAACAGCAAAGCACTAAATACTCAACCATTTGGTTAAATAAATAACCCAACGTTTTTTAGAGTGTCTATTTTTACTAGTTTAAAATCTAGTTTCTGTCAGTCAATTAAATTTTCAAGAGAATTTTAAGCAGGACTAAGAACAAAGGCACCATTGGTTTCAATAAAAAAATAAGAATAAAAACAAATAAGGATCAATAAATGAGCACCAATACAATTAATTAGCATTTATTACGTGACACAAAACATGAGTAATGATCCTACAAATTCAGCTATATCACAACCTATAATTAGGCAATACAATAAGATATTTTATATAATAATACTTTTACTTTAAATAAATAAATGCACCCTTAGTGAGTAGAATATAATATCTTTTTTCAAAAAACATTAACAAACGCATAGCCTCGGGAACGGGGGAACGCCTCGGGATTCCACCCGGAGGAGCTTGAGGAAGTGTCTGGGGAGAGGAAAGTCTTCTGACTGTTGCTCCCGCGACCCGGCCCCGGAAAAGCGGATGAAAGTTATATTAACAAATTCCAATGATTTTTAATCGTCTGACTGGTATTAGTTCAATTAGGTTAACTAAATCTAGTAAATTAAATTAAATCGTAAAAAAGCCTATGAACTTCGACATTATAAATAATCTATCCAATTTGTCGTTAGTCATTTTCGCGCGCATGTGTCCTCGCCATTGTTTCTCAATATCCCCACCTGTTGAATGTCAAATGAGGAAAATATCACACTTAAAGTTTTATGCAAGATTTTTGTCTGACCTCTCAGAAGCAGAAATATCCCCAAAACGACGTTCAGCTGCACAAATAAACCCATGACTGCAGGAACAGCGGGTCAAACCGGCTCACTTCCACATGAGGCTCTTTAATTGCGGCTTCAGCTGAGGCGCTTTAATTGATCACCTGACCGCGAACTCACAATCCGAAAACACGTTTAATTAGACCTAAACTGTACAAGTTAAATGGATTTAAAAAATAGAATTATTGTGTCTAAAAGAAAGTAAACAAAAAAACAAACAAGGAAAACACTTTTTATTGTTCATTATTATTATTATTATTATTAGTAGTAGTAGTAGTAGTAGTACTAGTATTATTAGTATTTTCATCGCGCTTTATAATAATAATAATTATTATTATTATCGCACTTTCCAAATTAATCTATGGATTTAAATAGCAAAAAATATTTGTAAAACTCTCTCTCTCTCTCTCTCTCTCTCTCTCTCTCTCTCTCTCTCTCTCTCTCTCTCAATAATTGCTTTATTGACATGACGAATGTTACAAATATATTGTCAAAGCATTTATAAAGTTTAAAATAAAAATAACATGGATATTGATTTTAAAAAACATAGGCCTAGCAAAATTAAAATAAAATACAAATTAAAAAAATAAAAGATCAGACTAAACTGTACATTTAACAATCAACATTTTATTGTAAAACGGAAATAACAATTAATATTGTGTGTGTGTGTGTGTGTGTGTGTGTGTGTGTGTGTGCATGTGTGCGTGTTTGTGTGTGTTTGCAAGCGCATCACTAATGCTCTCTCTCTTTATTTTTTTCCACTAATGACAGTTTTTTTTTAATTTATGTAAAAAATTAAAAATGCCTAAAATCTCTTGTCAGCTGCAGCTGCACTCCTGTCAGCTAAGAACAGCTAAGAACAGAAAACTGAAGCTACAATTCACACAGGCTCACCAAAATTGGACAATAGAAGATTAGAGAAACGTTGCCTGGTCTGATGAGTCTCCATTTCTGCTGCAACATTCAGATGTTAGGGTCAGAATTTGGCATCAACAACATGAATGCATGGATCCATCCTGCCTTGTATTAACGGTTCCACCTGGTGGTGGTGTAAAAGTATTGGGGATATTTTCTTGGCACACTTTGGACCCATTAGTACCACTTGAGCATTGTGTCAACGCCACAGCCTACCTGAGTATTGTTGCTGACCATGTCCATCCGTATGACCACAGTGTACCCATCTTCTGATGGCTACTTCCAGCAGGATAATTCACCATGTCATCTCAGACTGGTTTCTTGAACATGACAATGAGTTCACTGCACTCAAATGGCCCCCACTGTCACCAGATATCAATCCAATAGAGCACCTTTGGGATGTGGTGGAACGGGAGATTCACATCATGGATGTGCAGCTAACAAATCTGCAGCAGCTGCGTGATGCTATCATGTCAATATGGAGCAAAATCGCTGAGGAATTTTTCCAGACCTTTGCTGAAATGATGTCACGAAGGATTAAGGCCGTTCTCAGGGCAAAAGAGGGTCCAACCCTAGTAAGGTGTACCTAATAAAGTGGCCGGTTAGTGTACTGGAGTCGCCGATATGGTCTTTGCGCAGTTGTCATTCTCAGACACTAGAGAGCGATAAAGCGCTGCGCTCTTTTAAATACAGAGTAAAAACACCAACAGAGAAGAAGCGCGCAAAAAAAGTAGCAGAAAATGACCACTTGAATGACTTTGAACTTTGAGCACAGCATAATCTTGTAACTTTTATGCTTTTATGACGATTAATAACGTCGAGCTGGAATATGGATCGTGTTAGCACGCTAGTCGCTGTAGCGTCAGGTGTATCTGTGGTTTACCTCTTTCACTCAGTGTTTTACTCGTCTCACGTTATATTTAAAACCCAAACTGTATTTGAATCCCAAACACACCTGCCAGCCTCTCTTTACCTCATGACCAGATACTTTTATCAGTCTCTCCGAAAAAAACGTGGACAAATGAGAGAAGACAAAGAAACAAACGACGAACTTGTTTTAACTTTGATTAACTGCAGGTGACTGAGGTAAAGTTGCTTTTATAATCACACATTCGGATTTTCACTTTTATTTTGTATAATTTCGGTAAAGTGTCATTTGCAAATACCAAATAGTGAAATCATATTAGCAGCCAATGACTATCAAAAGTGTAACATTGTTCACAAGTCAAATAAACAGTGTTTTCTAGTCATACCTGCATGTGATTTCAGACCGAAATACTCAAATTACCATGGTAAACAATATTGGGAGCGTGTCACAAGTTTTCACTGAACGAATGTGTGAAATTAAAACCAGCTTAATATCAATAGATTAACTTAATGTTTATTACTGATTGAAGTCTGTGCTATGCCAGTTCAGTTTATGTGCATTCAATATCCATATACATTTATGTATTATTGTATGCATGTTATTTTAAAGGTATTAATTTAAAATCTATGAAGTATTACACATCATATCTTGAATTTATAGTGTTTCCCCACTGCACAGCTCTGCATTATGTAAAAAAAACTCTAACTTTTTTAAAAATCTTTTTATCTTTTTATTTTATTAATATATTAGTCGTATGAACAGACCTGTAATTGTTTTGTGATCATCTACAGGTATGATGGAACGTCTTTAAGGAGATTCTGCAGTGTTTCTGGTTATGGTTGGGATTATCCTGACAGTGTCTTCAGAGATCTTCCCTTGTGCTTCCCTGAGTTTCTCTTCAAAAGGCTGATCACCATGATTGTGTGCTCGGACAGATTCAAGCTGTGCCCTTCTGGTAAGATCTATTGCCTTTTTCAGCACAAGAGTCACTCACAGGGCGCTTTGGCTCAGTGGTTAGCACTGTCACCTCACAGCAAGAAGGTCGCATGTTGGAGTTCCGGCTGGGTCAGTTGTCTTTTCTGTGTGGAGTTTGCATGTTCTCCCTGTGTTGGTGTGGTTTTCCTCCGGGTGCTCTGGTTTCCCTACTGCTATAGGTGAATTGAATAATAAGCTAAATCGGCCGTAGTGTATGAGTGTGTGAATGAGAGACTGTATGCGTGTTTTCCAGTACTGGGTTGCGGCTTGAAGGGCATCCGCTACCTAAAAGATATGCTGGATAAGTTGGCAGTTCATTCCGCTGTGGCAACCCCTGATAAATAAGGGACTAAGCCAAAGGAATGATTGAATTAATGAAGGAATGTTTCACACACAGCAATCATCAAATATTGACATCCAAAACAAGAAAAACATTTTTAGAAAATGACCACTTTCCAACATTTTACGAAATATCTGTAAAGATTAAAATAGTTTTGGAACAAGTGAAGGATAAGTAACTGATGACAGCATTACATTTTTTTTTTAACGAACTATTCCTTTAACATTTATTTAATGGTTTATACTTGCGTTTATGTTTCCCATTGTAAACAAAATTTAATTCACTCTCTTAATTAATAATTTTCATTTTTTAAAATTCATTTCTTACATGGGCTTTTTGACTTAATCCCCATTTTTTTGTAACTTTGCTTAGTTTAATTTTATATGTTGTTTTTTGTTGTAATTAATTAGAAACTATTCGAAAACAAGAAACTAACTTTTAATTTAAACCTTTTTATTTTACTTCATTTCTATTAAAGGATAGTTTATCCAAAAATAAAATTTGCTCCGCACGTGCTCACTCTTAAGTGGTTCCAAACCTTTTTTATTTCTGTTGATCACAAAAGAAGAAAGTTTGAAGAATGCTGGAAACGGGTAACTATTGACATACATACAAAGAAAAACATACTTTGGAAGTAAGTTCTCAACATTTCACAAAATATATTTAAAAATTCAAACAGAATCAATTGAAGGGTAAGTAAATTATTTTTATGATGAACTATCCCTGTAATATTTCTTCAATGATTTTATATATTTATTAATTCTTTATTTAGTATTTCTTTAGTAAAACCTCTAACTTAAATGTTATTTTAAATGTCTGTGTGCAGGTCTGCTGGTTGTCTGTGAGACCGTGAGTCTGTCTGAGGCTGTGGATGAGCTGAAGAAAGGGCCTTTTTCCCTCCAGGCCTCAGTGTATGAGTACAGGACTGTGAGTTCAGGAGTGGAGGTCGATCTGACTTTAAGAGCATCCAGGCATCAGCGGCCCGTATGGAGCAGCACAGTGACTCTGCTGTCTCCTAGAAGCACACACACACCTGAAGCTCAGCCTGACTTAAACATCACACATGGTAAGGGATACACTGCAGTTTTTTACACTGGAGTTTTTCCTTCTCACTTATCGATCAGCAATCAAAAGCATTCACTAGGCTGAAGCTGTTAAAATACTTTGTGGCTAGTTTTTTGTCTGCTTGGTGCTCGATTCCTCCCACCTGTATTTTGCTTAAGTTGTAAATTGCAGCATAAAATGGCTGGTTTTGTTTCAACTTTTTTTCTGTGAAAATAGACACACAAACCTCTTCATTATTTATTTTTATTCATTATTCTTTTAATCTTTGTTCTCTATAATTCATATAAAGGCACCACTGAGAGAAAGTGTTTATCTCCTAACTATTCTAAAGCCTTCTGCATCATATCTGATAACTGACTCTATATGATCAAACTTAAAATCTCTCCAGCAATAGCATTAGTTCAAATTTCACAATCTAGTGATATATGCGATGAATATAGCCTTGAAATTTACAATCTCCCACCCCCCCCAGATCCTGCTTCAGAGAGGTGTATCAGTCTGGCTGTTCCGTGGTCCAGCGCTGTGAGATGTGCTTGGGTGTTTGGTGATGTGTTTGGTTGGTGGAGGCTTACCCGTCCCGCTGCTCACCCGCTGTGGATGCTCGCCAAGTGCATAGCAGAGATGGAGAAGCACAAAGGTCTGAAATGTTTCATGAGTGATTTACACCAACAGCAGAATGGCACAAGTCAGAAGTGCTGGGTTTCCTTAAAATCCTTGAAAATGTGTCAATCTGAAGGAGGACAATTTCCAAGGCCCATGAAAGTTTTAGAAAGTAAACATACAGTACATGAACACAGACCCTTGAAAGTGCTTAAATTTATTTTGTGCAGGTTTTCTGTTTGTCTTCCATGTGCTCAGCACAGTTTTGTACATTTCTGATCCTTTTCCCTCATTTATTATTATTATTATTATTATTATTATTATTGGTGCAGTGGGTAGTGCTGTCTCACAGCAAAAAAGCCTCTGGTTCGAGCTTCAGCTGGGCCTTTTATCATTTCTGTGTGGACTTTTCATGATCTCCCCATGTTGGTGTGGGTTTCCTCCGGGTGCTCTGGTTTCCCCCACAGTCTAAAGACATGTGGTACAGGTGAATTGGGTAAGCTAAATTGTCCGTAGTGTATGTGTGTGAAAGCAAGTGTGTATGAATGCATGAGTGTGAATGCAAGAGTGTATGGGTTCCCAGAGTTGGTAAGCAAATAACTTTCTCCAACTGAATGAAGACAAGTGTGAATTCATTTTTTTTTTTGGCCAAAAAGGTTCGAATTCTAATGGCAATTTGTCATTGCTTCCTGGGAAAATACATTTATCTGTAAAGAGTCTTGGTGTCATCTTTGACTCTGAGCTAAAATTTGATCGGCAAATTAATGCGGTTGTCAAAAATGTTTGTTTCTATTTTAGATAAATTGCCAAGCTGAAGTCTGTCCTCTCTTTCAGTGATTTGGAGAAGGTCGTTCATGCTTTCATCTCTTCTCGTCTGGACTATTGCAACACATTGTATCTGGGTGTGAGTCAGGCCTCTCTCTCGCGACTGCAGCTAGTCCAGAACGCAGCTGCCAGGCTCTTAACAGGCACAAAAAAACGAGAACACATTACACCTGTACTAGTTTCTCTACACTGGCTGCCAATCCAGTTTAGAATTCAGTACAAAGTTCTGTTGTATGTTTTTAAATCCCTCCATTGCCTGGCCCCTGCGTATATTTCTGAGCTAATTATTACGCACCAACCTGTGAGATGTCTTCGCTCTATGGATCTATTTACGCTCTATTCGCTCTATTTACAAGTTCCTAGATCACGCTTAAAATGTCGAGATGATAGAGCTTTCTCAGTAGCAGCTCCAAGACTTTGGAACGATCTTCCACTCTCCTTAAGAACAGCTCAAACTTTTGGGTCTTTTCAGAGGTCACTGACAATACACTTGTTTTCTTTAGCTTTTAATCATGTGATGTGAGTTTATGTATTTTGGTTTTGTGTATATCTGCATGTGTTTTATGTGTTTTTTGTACAGGACTTTGGTACCCATTGTGGTTTGTTGAAAGTGCAATAGAAATAACGTGAGTTGAGTTGAGTATGGGTGTTTCCCAGTGATGGATTGCGGCTGGAAGGTCAAAAAAACATATGCTGGGTAGATGGCGGTTCATTCAGCTGTGGCGGATTATTATTATTTTTATTATAGCATAGACTTACACTATTATAAATTATTAGATCTGTATAATGTACAAATATGGTTTAGGGTATCGGTTTATCATAATAAATTTATTCATAAAAATACATTTTTATTTTTATGTTACCAAATATAACTTAGATTTAAATTGTAAATAATTAAATTGTATATTATACAGATATATTAATGTAATAATAATCTACGGTGTTATTAAAATTGGATTGTTACATGTGTTTATAAATATTGTAATTATTCATTCATTCATTCATTTTCTTGTCGGCTTAGTCCCTTTATTAATCCGGGGTCGCCACAGCAGAATGAACCGCCAACTTCTCCAGCAAGTTTTTACGCAGCGGATGCCCTTCCTGCCGCAACCCATGTGTGGGAAACATCCACACACACATTCACACACACACTGGGGACAATTTAGCCTACCCAATTTACCTGTATCGCTTGTCTTTGGACTGTGAGGGAAACCGGAGCACCCGGAGGAAACCCATGCGAAGGCAGGGAGAACATGCAAACTCCACATAGAAACGGCAACTGAGCCGAGGTTCGAACCAGCGACCTTCTTGCTGTGAGGCGACAGCACTACCTATTGCGCCACTGCCTCGTCTATTGTTATTATATTTATTAAAAATATATAGTTATATTATATGGATAATGTATATTTAATAATATTACGTAATTTAAATGTATATTTAATAATTAATGATATAATTTCTAATAAATAAACAAACTCAGACACACTAATTATTATTAATAATATTGAGTGTTTTGTATATTCGATTATGTATATATTGTTTATATATATCATTCATTAAATTTTGTAAAAATTATTTAAGAAAGTTATGCATATTAATAGAATTTCCAATTTGATTTTTCTGTCTTTAACTGCAGGAGTTGAAGTGGTGAGAGCTCCTCTAACTGTGTCCGTCTGGTACAAACAGCCTGTGTGTTTACCAAGGAAAGTCAACATCAGAGTCAGTGAAAACACTTCTGAAACCACAGCATTGTTTTCAATGGAGGAGCAGAGAACCGGGACCCTGTTTGTCTCAGGACAGATAAAACGACTGACCACTGAAAAGGCAGAATGAGGGTGATTTTACAGACTTTACAGAAAAAATGCTTAATTAAAGGAGCACTCCCACTTTTTTTTGGAAATCAGCTCATTTTATAAGTCACCTAGAGTTAAACATTTGAGTTTTACTATTTTTGAATCCATTCAGCTGATCTCCAGGGGCCTGTTTCAGAAAGGAGGTTAAGTGAAAACTCAGAGTATTTTAACCCTGAAATGAGTGAAACTGGGTTTTCCGTTTCAAAATGGCAGGTTTGTTAAACTCGAGAAGGCAGGGTAAGTCAAGCCTGTTTCTAAAAGAGAGGTAACTTTAACTCAGAGTCAGTTACTGTGGCCACTTACTCTGTGAACTTAACCTGGTCAGGAGCAGGTTTTATTCTCTAAACTCTGAGTTTCTGTCGGTCTCCTCCCCTATTTTAATGCTCATTTTGGATATGTGCATAAAAACTGTTGCTGGAAACGTTATGATGCACATAACTTTTGAAAATATGCATAAAAAACACGCATAACTGAGCAGGATAAACTTTTATTCAATAGAAAATATGCGCATAAACTACGATGGAAACACTTTTACTGAACAAATTACAGTATGTACAATAAAAAAGGTGTTCATATGATGATGAAAATGTGTGTGAATGGACAAACCAGCAGGCTGAGCACACGGTAACACGTCTTAAATGTTGTTTTAGTCATTTTAAATGCTTTAACTGTTTCAGTATTAGTGTATATAATTAGACTACCTCCGAGCATCTGGAGCTTGTCAAGAGTCTCCGCGTCTTATGGCTTCAAATGCCCCCACATGTTCATTGTTTTCTGAGGCGCAAGTACATTTATTAAATAAATAATTGACGCAGCTTCTTCTACCACAGTAAATTCTGTTTTTACTGTATATATTTGGCGCCAGTTAATCAGGAAGTGATGCTCCATTTTGTTCTCTTTAACTCGTTGGATGGCAACGCTGCTTTATTCGCATCTTTTATACAATATTCCAGTTTTGCACATAAATTTATATACTTGGATGGAAACATAGATATTGCCTACCTTTTAGTCACACACAGAACAATAAGTAATTAGCTTAAATAATTAATTATTAATCAAATTACGTATTAAGTTGAGCAGCTGTTTTCTCACACTAACTGTCTCTGTTTCACTGATGGTTGCTTCTTTTTAAAAATATATACACTCATATTTGCTTTAATGTTGCATGATCACATCAAGTTCAGCTGGAGAAAGAAATGGTGATCTCTTTTTTTAAGATGTTGACATGGTCACTCGTAATAGCTGCGCTCCATTGATAATGCCTTTTTATAGTCACGGTGTGCGCGCTTAACTCTGAGTTGGTCTACTCAAAGTTGATTGACCTAACTCAGATCATCTGTTCTGAAACCGAAAACTCTGAGTTTTTAATCTCTCAGTAAACAAATGAGTTGTTTGAACCTCCTTACTAAAACAGGCCCCAGGTCTGGTAGGAGCACTTTTAGCTTAGCCTAGCATAAATCATTAAATCAGTTTAGACCATTAGCATTGTACTCAAACATGTAAAAAAAGAGTTTCAATAATTTTCCTATTTAAATCTCGACTCTTCTGTAGTTACAGTAGGTGCTAAGACTGACAGAAAATGAAAAGTTGCTACTTTCTAAATATGGCTAGGAGCCATGCTCTAATTCCAGCATAATAATCATTTTTTTTTTGAGTGAGATGCTAATAGTCTAATTTGATTTAATGATCTATGCCAGGGGTCACCAATCCTGGTCCTGGAGGGCCGGTGACCCTGCATTGTTTAGCTCCAACTGGCCTCAACACACCTGCCTGGGTGTTTCAAGTATACCTAGTAAGAGCTTGATTAGCTTGTTCAGGTGTGTTTGATTAGGGTTGGAGCTAAAATTTGCAGAACACCGGCCCTTCAGGAACAAGTTTGATGACCCCTGATCTATGCTAAGCTAAGCTAAATTTGCTCCCACCAGACCTGGGGCCTCATGTACGAAGACTTGCGTGGAAATCTTACTAAAACATTGCGTACACACAAAGCTGTAAATGTGCGTACGCAGAAAAAAATTCAGATGTATGAGACACTGGGTACGCCGAATCTCACGCATATTCTTTTGTACATCCGAATGAACGTGAAACTGAGCGCAACATGCACGAGCACAAAACCCCTCCCTGCCTCCTCCCCCGTATGAATATGCTAATGACTATGCTAATGGAAAAACCCAACGAAAAAGCAAAGGCAAAAGCAAGCAAAAAGAGAAACTTTGAACAGAATGTGAATTGGAGGTGCTGCTTTCGGAGGTAGACCGGAGAAAAGCGGTGTTATTTGCAAGTTTGATCTCCGGAATTAACAACAAAAGAAAAAAATAGAGTGGGGGAGTTTAGCTGATGCAGTTAACACAGTTGGGTCTGAACATCACACTGAGTGCATTAAAAAAAAGAAATAGTGTGGTTTATATCTGTAAAATGTTGCAGGACGCTTAACAGTCTCAGTGGCGCAACTCGGAAGACGCATGTGATCATGTATTGACACGTTCGAGCATGAACTCGGCTCGAATCCAGCGTCTGATGAACTCTTTCTTCTTTTTTCCCCCGCTACAAATCAGATTTTGCCCACTATTTATCACGAGAAAGACAAGTAGGAATCATCAATAAGTTTGTGCATCATATTTTATTTGCACATTTATTAAATGGAAATGTTTCTGATTCACGCATGCAGATTCATCTTCAGATAGTGTCTTTATAGCAATGTGTGTGCAGTAGATAGCTCAGATTACATTGGGAAAACAGGCGACGCTGCAAATTGTGCTTTAATGTTTGGCTGGTTAACTGTATGGTATGGAAACCTTATATACCTGCTAGATGAACCCGTCTCATACAGCTGCCATTGCAAGGCTCAGACACTTTGTGGAGAGGAATTTAACACAACTGCCTCTAGGAGTCGCCAATGGAAATAAAACGGACACGGACAAAAAATGTGCGTACGCCAGCCATAAAGCTGCCGTGAAGCTGCGCAAATTCCCACGTTCAGTTCATTGTTAGTAAATCCAAACGTGAGCGATTCTGAGCGTGAAACCTGGCGTACGCAAAGTTTTTGTGCGTACGCAGCGTTGATACATGAGGCCACTGGAGATTGACTAAATGGATTTAAAAAATGGTTAAACTCAACTGTTTAACTCTAAAAGAGTTGTAAAATAAGAATATTTCCAACTGAAGTGTTCCTTTAATAAAAAGTTGTGTGAAGCCATCATGGAGCACAAATAATCAATGCAAATAATCAACGTCAAAATAACGTTGTCCTCAGACGCTGTCTAGACATTGAATTTTGGTCACCTGACGTCACAACCTAAATTTAACCTAGAATTAGCATCTTATGACATTGTGTGCCCTTAAAAATAAAGCAGAAGAAAATTTCTAGGATTATTTCTAATGCTTGAAGATCGATGTAGAGCTAAATTAGGTTTGTGCGAATGATGTTGTAAGAAATACAAGTGGACCTAATGGGAATAAAACAACATGCTGTTGCTCATCTTAAATGCTGTTTTATTCTTTATTTTTATTTGTATTTCATCCTCAATGGCTTCGGACGGTATTGTTTTATACATCCAGCATTGTTCATGTTCATTGAAATCATTTTAAATCCGCGTCTGTATCAATAAGTGGGGAGTTGTAGGAGGAGGAGGCTGTTTCTCATTAATATTTTACTCTCTCTCCACTTTCCTCAGTCTTTCCCTGTTCATGCACACGTGTGTAAGTGCTCCGTGTGTTTTATTCATTAGTGTGTGTTGAGTGTATGAGAAGGGGGTTTCTCAAGCTCTGTTCAGAACAACCTAACCTATATATTATATTATATTATATTATATTATATTATATTATATTATATTATATTATATTATATTATATTATATTATAGTATATTATAGTATATTATAGTATAGTATATTATGTTATTTTATATTATAGTATATTATGTTATTTTATATTCTATTCTATTCTATTCTAATATATTCTATTTTATTATATTATAGTATATTATGTTATGTTTTATTATATTGTTATATTATATTATGTTATGTTATATTATGTTATGTTATATTATATTATATTTTTATGTTATTTTATATTATATTATATTATGTTATTTTATATTATGTTATGTTATTTTATATTATATTATATTGTTATATTATATTATATCATATTATATTATATTATATTATATTATTTTATAGTATATTATGTTATTTTATATTCTATTCTATTCTATTCTAATATATTCTATTTTATTATATTATAGTATATTATGTTATGTTTTATTATATTGTTATATTATATTATGTTGTATTATATTATATTATATTACATTATTTTATGTTATATTATTTTATATTATATTATATTTTTATGTTATTTTATATTATATCATATTATATTATACTATATTATATATTATATGATATTATACTATATTATAGTATATTATGTTATTTTATATTCTATTCTATTCTAATATATTATATTATATTACATTATATTATATTACATTATATTATATTATGTTATGTTATGTTATATTGTTATATTATATTATATTATATTATGTTATGTTATGTTATTTTATATATTATATTTATGTTATTTTATTTTATATTATGTTATGTTATTTTATATTATATTATATTGTTTTGTTATATTATATTATATTATATTATATTATATTATATTATATTATATTATATTATATTATATATGTTGACCACTGTAATATAATATGAGTACCCCCCCTCACAAATCTCTCAATTAAATTAATATTTTAGGAAGCTTTACCATATTGTATTTGTGCATTAGATTAGTCAGTACTGAAGCCAAATCTGGAGCTTATCTAACAAAATTACATGATAACTGTCCAAAATTAGTACACGCAAATTCATATATTAGGGTAAATATTAAATGAAATATATATACATACAGTTGAAGTCAGAAATATTAGCCCCCCTGAATCAGTAGCCCCCCTGTTAATTTTTTTCTTCAATTTCTGATTAACAGAGAGAAGTTTTCAACACATTACTAAACATGATGGTTATAATAACTCCTTTTTAATAACTGATTTATATTATCTTTGCCATAATGACAATAAATAATATTTGACTAGACATTTTTAAGACACTTCTATACAGCTTAAAGTGACATTTAAAGGCTTAACTAGGCTAATCAGTTAAACTGGGCAGGTTAGGGTAATTAGGCAAGTTATTGTATAACGATGGTTGGTTCTGTAGACTATTGAAAAAATATATAGCTTAAAGGGGCTAATAATTTTGGCGCTAAATTGGTGTTTAAAAATTAAAACTGCTTTTTTTGTATCCAAAATAAAACAAATAAGACTTTTCCTAGAAGAAAAAAATATTATCAGACATACTGTGAAAATTTCCTTGCTCTGTTAAACATCATTTGGGAAATATTAAAAAAAAAAAAAATTCAAAGGGGGGCTAATAATTCTGACTTCAACTATATATATATATATATATATATATATATATATATATATATATATATATATATATATATATATATATATATATATATATATAGATAGATAGATAGATAGATAGATAGATAGATAGATAGATAGATAGATAGATAGATAGATAGATAGATAGACAGACAGACACACAGACACACAGACACACAGAAACACACAGTTAAGGTCAGAATTATCCGTCCCCCTTTGAATTTCTTTTTAAAATATTTCCCAAATGATGTTTAACAGAGCAATGACATTTTCACAGTATGTCTGATAATATTTTTGTCTTCTGAAGAAAGTTTTATTTGTTTTATTTATGCTAGAATAAAAGCAGTTTTTAATAAAAAAAATTATATATATATATATATATATATATATATATATATATATATATAATTTTTTTTTTTTAACGGTCAATATTATTAGCTCCTTTGAGCTATATAGTTTTTCCGTAAGTCTACAAAACAAACCACTATTATACAATAACTTGCCTAATTACCCTAACCTGCTTAGTTAACCTAATTAACCTAGTTAAGCATTTAAATGTCACTTTAAGCTGTATAGAAGTGTCTTGAAAAAAATCTAGTCAAATAATTTTGGTCACCCGACATCACAACCTAAATCTAACCTGAAATGTACGTTTTATGACATTGTGTGCCTTTAAAGATAAAGCAGAAGACTCAATTTAGTATGCATTAAAAAAAAACATTACATCCGATATGTCCGTTCTTAGACTAGATAGACAAATATCTTGTTCAAAACTGTAATGTAGTGAATATTTCCCTGTACACATACACCATAACCTAATAGACATGATTAATTTATAAAGGCCTGATTCTGTCGTGTGTGAAGTGCAGTCATGTGTAATCAGTCTGTTTAGAGCGGCGAGTGGAACGGCAGCGACGATCAAAGAACAAAATAATGAAAGTGTAAGTTCAGAATTATCTCTTAAGCTTTTCTATTTCCAGCAGAAGTGAGGATATTTTCTGAAGCTGCTGCTGCTGGGGTTGTTTTGCGACTGAACTCTTGATGTGTCTGTTTTTGTGTTCTTGCGAGTGACGGCCCACGCCAGATAAAATGTGTTTCGTCTTCTGAAAATGCCTTGAAGTCTCTTGGGAATGTTGAGTTATTTTTTGCAGCTTTTAAAGGCTTGATGTCTTGTGAAGAGAAAAAAAATCGGCCACCTCCTAGTTTCATTCTCTCATCCACTTCTATTTCTTTTTGTTCGCTCGCTGTCGTAAATGTCTCAGGTTGAGTAATTTTGTGATTGGATGTTCATGCAGCATCTGGAGATTTACTGTTGTGTCTAAAATACTAAAAGGTATTAGTGTGGTAGTCGAAGGGCAAAAGGTTAATTCCTCTGTGGTAATCCTGAGGATTTAGTGGAGATCTTATTTCGGTTTTGTATTTTTCCTCATGGTACAGATGTGAGCTGTATTCTGGACCAGAGGTGTGTTAGAAAGCCATGGTCACCAAAGACAACTCTGGTGAGTAGAAATCGTCTCTTTAAATTAACCAAAATGTAACGTTTTATGTGTTTTTACTAACTATTTAACTGCCCCACCAAGAAAAAAGAAATTGAAATGTTTTAGATGGTATTTCTTAACTCCTAATGTCGCTAGTTACCACACTCAATGCATTTTGTTGTTCAACACATCCCATAATTTACAAAATATCAGCCTCTACCAAATGGTTGTTTTATGGTAAAAGTACTGGAATTAATACTTGGAAAATCAGAAAAATATCAAGAGTAAGACTAATTTATTTAAAAACATAATAAAAATAAAACATTTTTGATTACTAAATCTTCTTTGTTTATTCAAGTATGCCATAAAATATTCCATATTCTCATTTAACACAGTAATTTACATGTTTTTTTTTTTTTTTTGCAATGAAACTAAAATCAAGTGTAGTAGTGCAACAGGATGTTTGATTTATTTATTTTTTTGTAAACCAACAATGCTGTTGTGATCATTCAAACAGTATAAAGCATGTCTTTGAGCTTTGAATCATTAGAATAACTTGCATATTTTACAGTAGAAATGTCTTTTTAATTGTATCAATATTTTACAATATTATTTTTTATACACTCTCAGAAAAAAATGGTACAATGTTGGACCAAAGTAGGTACAAACCCTTGTCACTGGTGCAGTACCTTTTAATGGGGCAGCAATATACCTTAAGACAAAGAAACTGATTTGTACCATTGCAGTTTGTACTTTTAAGGATATGATTTGTACTGTGGGAAACTAAAATGAACCTTTCGTTTTTAAAACCTGCAGATACAATATTGTGCCTTCATCAAAGGTACAAGTCTGATCCATGAAGGAACCACTAGAGTGACAAGACACTGTTTACCTTAACAGTGTAAAAAATGCTTACCAAACATTTTAAATGCCTTAAATGTTTAGTTTAATGCGTATAGTTTTGTTTTACCAGTTGTTTTGTATTTTTAGAACTTAATAATTAATGTTCATGAGTCTTTTAAATGATCATTTATATTTTAATATGGAAATTATTTATAAAATCACTTTGTTTTTTCCAGTAATATTTATTTTTATAGATATTGTAATAAAGAAGGATTTGTCCAACACTTATGCACCTTTTTTATGAGAACAATTGTGTACCTTCATTTCAGTTGTACCAAAATAGGTCCAGAACAGTATCATAAGAGATCTTTTCTGTACTGTATAAGGTACAATTTTTACAAGGGTACAAAACTCAAGGAACCTTATTTGTACTGCCGTGTACCTTTTTTTACCGTGTACTGTATTTATGATTAAATAAATGCAGCTTTAATAAACATTCAAACCCCTAACCTTTGAATGATAGTGTAGATGGGGATAAATCCATTAACTTGATGATAAATTCAATGTTTTTGTTGTTGTTGTTTGCAAACAAGAAAACATAACTTATTTGAAAGTTTAATGTTAGCTCAGACTGTGTGGTTTGTTAAAGAGAAGTACTTATATAAAAACATATTTATATGTTAGTATTTCTAGTTTCACTTCTGTAACTGATCTGTTTGGATCATTTGCATAATGCAAGATAGCAAAATAAACTCGGCCAGATCACAGCCTTTTTCAAAATATTTTTTTTTTCTGTGAGTCTGCGTGCCTGCGTGCGTGCATGTGAAATAAAAATCATTAAAGGTTGTAACCACTTGAGAAGTCTTTCTGAAGGCTCATGTGACACGACTGCCGCTCGAAAAATGTGGAAAATTTAAAAAGCCTTTATTCACATGGCTAAATCTTAAAAAAACCTAGGCGTTTCGGCAAGGAACTGCCTCATTACCCTGATTTTTCAAGTGCCTTGGACTGATTTCTGTTGTTAAATAAAAAACATTATTTTAAATGTATGAACTAATGCTGGAAAACTTTTTAAATGATAACTTATTGCAACAGGAACGTAAACAATCACATTTATAACACGGTGGAGTTCAATGCTGAATACGCTAATCAAGCCTTTGCTTTGATTTGCTCACCAAAGTGTCTGCATTGTCGGGTGACATTAGGTACATTTAAACTTAATCTGATTAATATACACCTTTTAATTGAAACATTTAATAGCCTTTAACACTAAAACAAACAAAACAAAGGATTACATTAAATTTGAATTGACAATTATAAACCATTCCCATCATTCTCCCTCTCCTGATTTGGCGGGCCTAATCAAAACTTACCTATGGCTGTCTATTGTCACCAGGCTTCATTTGCTGCCTCTAAATAATGCCTACATTGACCCTCAAAACACTTCAGCTCAATTATTGTGTTGTCAGCACTCTGTTGGGAAGTGTTAATTGTTGAGTCAAAACATTTATTTTAGCTTGACTAATGCACTTTTACTGTACAGAAAATCCTGTTAGATTCACTGAAGCTGCAAAATGAATGTTTTGCTGATATTGCATATGCATTGTATTGTTGGTGATTAGAGAATTCATTAGTATGAGGTAGCATGTAGGGCTTAAATCAAACATTACTCACGCATACATTAATGAAACACTTTCATACTCGTTAAGTAGAAATATGTACACTACCTGACAAGTTTTTCGATGAATCCCAGTTGTAAAAGCAACAAATAATAACTTGTAGTTGATTTTGAGAAGTTGATTTTTAGATGAATCATCTGTTGAACTGCAACTTAATCATCACAAATACTACAGAAGACCTATTGAACCTAGATGGACCCAAGATTCTCTCAGAAATCTGTTTGTTGAAGGAAAAATCATCACATAAAAAACCTCAGGAGAGGGCAAATCTTCAGCAGGATAGCGCTCTTTCTCAGGATTCAGCCTCCACGTCACGAGTTCTCCCCTAAGGACTTATTATGCGGTCTCTGTTGCCATCTTGTGGCGCAACGTCAACCGTCTTTGCTTTGCTCAATATGACAGGCTGATTGCTGCGAACGTGCTAAAATTCTAAAATTATAATTTTTTTTTAAAACAAGCACTATCCTTATAAATAAACTGCATAGTTGCAATCTAAACAACTACATGCTTGACTAAAAAAGCCTCAAAAGTACATTTTGTTGTCCAGCAGCTGCAATATTTGTCAAACTGTAGTGAGTCTATTGATCTTCTGGGATCACTCCATGTGGGTGGGGTAATACAGAGTGAAGTGGCAGTCGAGTTCTGATATTGTAGAATATTGCACGGCTATCAGCCAATCAGATTCAATAACCAGACAAAACCATTGTATAAACTGGAATATCACATAAAACATTTGCAAATAAAGCAGCGTTTCCATCCAATGAGTTAAAGAGAACAAAATAATCGTCACTTCCTGATAAGCTGGTGCCAAATATCAAAAAGAAAAAATAGAGTTTTAGAAAAGAAGAAAGTATTTTTTCTTATATAACAAAATACTTCCACATCAGAAGATGAAAACAAACACAATGAACGCATGGCTGCTGCTTTTGGACGCTGAAGACGCTCAAGACGGTTCTTTGGACTTTGGCCAAAACAACCGTTCAGGTGTTTTACAATATGCTCGATTCGCTGGTTTGTCTATTCATGCAGTCCCCTTGGTCCCATTTATCACATGATCTAAAACAAAATCAGATGACTTGTTTACCACATTCTGGAATTTATTTGGTAAATGTGGTTTATACACATTTTTCACTATAACATGAGAAGTTGGTTCTACTGAGTTTTGCATGTATGTTTTTCAATCGCATTTTCTAAATTTATGCACATCTTGGCATTTCCAATTTTAAATTTTAAAGGGATATTGCAAAATGTGCAAAAAAAAATAGGTGGGTGGAAACATAGCTACTCTCATGGCCCATTTCCACTGAGTGGTTTGGTTCGGTTTGGTACGCTTTTATGGCCGTTTCCATTGTCAAAAGGTACCTAAAAGTGAACTGTACCGTACCAGTTTTTGGGTGCCCTTTTGAAAGAGTGCCTAGCACAACAAAAGGGTACCAAAAGGCGAAGCAAGATGCACAGCGCCATTTTTAAATACACAGCCGAGACATTACACCACAATAATATATACATATAATAACGAGCAATGGTCTAACTGAGCTTAAACAAACCATGTGGTCATCTTAATGAACAGCCACAAAGCCGAGCAGAAGAGCAGAATCTATCCTGTGCCCAGTAGTTGTTTACAAGGCCATCTAAAGTGCGAGCGCGTTCACTTTCTGCAGAGAGCTCGTATGCGTGTCTATATTTGAAGTAATAAATTTCTTTAGCTGATGGTCATAACGTGCGCGTGATTATTGAAGTGCTTCTGACATCCGATCCTTTCAGAAACTGACAAACGCAAGAGTGACGCGCGAAAAAACAAAGAAGAAGCCAGAAAAAACAAAAGGAGCAAATGATTCTTTCAGCAACCTAAAGCATGAGCAAACTGCCCTGTTTAACTATTATCATCACCTTTTGGACTATTATGAACTCTGAATGACGGAATTACTTTCTAACAGAGCTTACATGTGCTGGTGAAGATTAAAGATACGCATGAGAGGTTTACCCTGAAATTATATGTTGTTTTTAAACCCAAATAAGGAGTAAATGTATGCTGTGTGTAGATTATCTTTAATTGATAACACAGGGTCTGTATGTGTTCATATGTGTTGCATTTATTTATATATTTATTTTATATAATCCCAGACATCACAGAAGGCTATTTCGCATTGATCTGCAGTTATAATCAAATCCTGTTCATAGAAATGTTAGTAATAAACATTTATGCAGAAGTATTTATGTACTATAAAGCATCTGTTTTGTGAGAAGTGCGTCTCGTATGATATGTGAACGACCTGTAAAGCTTTACTTTAGCATGGTCTCAAGTGAGAATGACGTTGACTGAAACTTTGTGATGTACACCACGCCCACCATTGGTACCCTTTTGGCCTGATAAAGGTGACCGGTACCGACCACTACCGTACCACTCAGTGGAAACAGGCCATCAGGTGTTTAGTCACCAACACCTGCTGTTGTAGTTGTAGAATAGGCCATCTGAAAAATCAAAGCAGACTCTTGGAAAAGACCGGTTTAGAAAGAACAAATCTAGTTTAACAAAATTAAACTAATTGTTTAATGTTATGACAAAATGAAGTTTAACTTTGGATGCATAAAGATCTATTGTAGGAGACTTTTGCAAACAAGTTAGCAACATTTAAAACAGCATAGTAAGGGTACTTTAATAAAGCGTATTTATATCAACGTGTGTCCTGTTTTTTCCTATCTTAGGCTCTAGCAGCAAGACGACCTGTGTGAAGAAACAAAAGTGTATCATGAACAATTCTCAAAAGGCTGGGAAGGTTCACAGGGACCCACAGAAGTCCATTTTTGAACCTGAGCTGACCTTAAAAGTCACCGCTGATGATGGTGGAAGCAAGACGAGCCCAACGGAGAACGGTGTGATTGAAAGCACAAACGAATGGAGTACTTCCAATCTCCACAGTCTGAAAGAGATGCAGTATCTGCAGCACGAAGCCGAGGACAGTCTAATCGACGCCTCGCTGGACATGGACAAGTCGTCTCTTATGGGCTTCATTGACTCCAGCAACCTGGAGAGCTCGGAGGACGTTCGGACGGTGCCGTGCTTTCAGGTGGACGTTAAAACGGATGTGGTGCTGATCGACGAGGATGATGATGATATGTCTTTAAGGGAGAGGACAGTGACGGACGTGTCCACTACTGATGGAAACGCAGCTGAGCTCGTGTGCGGGGGGCTCCAGTCCATCTCATCAGACTCCTCCCACTCAGTGTGTGAAGGGCGGAGTCAAGAGCAGGCCACACCCATTGAGCCATCTCATGAGGAGCCGCTCAAGAAACAGAAACGCTCCTGCTGCCTCTGTGTAATCATTTGAGGGGACACTTTTTTTTGGGACACTTTCTTTGGGACAGTGTTTTTGGGACAGTTTTTACTTATTGAACACATTTTAACCAAAAAAAATTGTCAAATGTGTGTGTTTTTTAATAAAGTGGAAGTTAATTGGTTAATATTTAATTTAATAATGTTAGACTAGTTTCTTGTACCAAATAGATAAGTCATCATTTAGTTTTTCATGTCCATTTTTAAGAATTACTCAGGCTTGCGTTGGTACTGTACCTTTAAAAGTCAAACATAACATGTTTTTACATCCATAATCCAATATTTTAAGTACTTGACTTGCATAATGCGGCTAACTGAAATATGTTTGTATAAAGTAAATACAGTAAGATCCTTTGAGGTTTCTCTGGAAAGTGGCAGTTTTTGGGACATTTGAGTTTTTGTTTTACTTATTTAATCCATTAACTAGCATTGTAACTGCATGGTTGACCTTATTTAGGTTATCATTTAAAAAAAAATCCTCAAATTTAGCTTGGAGTTGTGTCAGGAACACATTTTAAGCAGAGAAATTGGTCAAAAATGTGTGTTTTTGTAGAGTGGAATGTAAACGGTTAATATTTAATTCAATAATGTTAGTCAAGTCATCTTTTTTTTCATGTCCATTTCTAAGAATTACTCAGGCTTGCGTTGGTACTGTACCTTTAAAAGTTAAACATAACATGTTTTTAAATCCTTAATCTGATTTTTTAAGTTCATGACTTCCTTAATGGGGCTTTTCGAAATATTTGTAATTTGTATAATATAAATACAGTAAGATACATTAGTTAAGGAACTTTTATAGTGGTGGTCACAATGGTAGTTTCTTGTGCTAAACATGTGGGTGGCTCCAGTCAATCTCATTTGACTCCTGCCACTCAGTTTGTGAGGGGTGGATTTAAGAGCCGGCCCCACCTATTTATGCATCTCATGAGCCACTGACAACTGCGCCCTGTCTAATCCTTTGAGGTTTCTCTCAAAAGTGGCAGTTTTTGGGACATTTCAATACTTTGTTTTACATGTTTAACCCATTAATGGCATTGTAACTGCATGGTTGACCGTATTTAGGTTATCATAAAACAAAATTAAACAAAAAACAACTAAAATTTTGCTTGGAGTATTGTCAGGAACAAATTTTAACCAGAGAAATTGGTCAAAAATGTGTGTGTTTTTTTAATAGAGTGGAAGTTAAATGCTTAATATTTCATTTAATAATATTTTTATTTAAAGTTTTTGTACCAAATAGATTAGTAATCTTTTAGTTTTTCATGTTAATTTTTTTAAGTATTACTAGGACTTCTGTTCCCACTGTACCTTTAAAAAGTTAAAGATACCATATTTTTACATTCACTATAAGATGTTTTTAAGTAAACGACTTCCAATGCGGCTTATTGAAATATGTTTTTATGTCTATGCCACGAAGGATTAAGGCAGTTCAGAAGGCAAAAGGGCAAAATTACACGTGTCACTTGTTTAACTTCCAAATGTATGTCCATATATTTGAAACGTTTTTTTAACGATGGAAGTTAGTTAATGACATTTTATCATATCAAACCTGATAATGTCACTGTACCAGCAGAATTTATTAATTTATCTAATGGTCGTGACGTTGCTTTGAAAATTAATTAAACAACACAAAACTATTTTCACTCAATAGTGAGATGGAGGTGTCCTAGTAGTGTTTTTATGTCTATAATTATCTCAAAAAATATGTTTTAGGGTGTCATAACCCTTTATGGTGCTTTAATTATAAGGACAAAACTATTTGTTTCAAAATACAGAGACAGCAATACATTTGTGAGGTTATTAACATGTAAAATAACTTTTCAGTTTGGAAAATATTTTAAAATGAAATGTATTCTCGCGATGCATACTGTATAGCCGAGTTTTTAAGGTTTCAGGTTCTCATTCAACACATTTGTTTTCCTCAATTTATTATGATTTTATTGACAAAAAAGTTTTATTTTTTATGATTGGACAGTGGCTGGAGAGAAAGCAAATTTAAAGAGACAGAAGGGGGATAGGACTGGGAAAGGTCTGCGAGCCGGGAGTTGAACTCGGTACGCCTGAAGCACAGTGGTACTATATGTTGACGCGCGACCCTTGAAATCAATCTGTTATATGATTTATATTGGCATTGTCAGCTCAAAAATATTTCACTACTAATTCAAATTTTGAAAACTGTTGCTGTTTAATGTTGTAAATGTTGTGATATTTCTTTGAGTACAAAAGGTCAAATAATTTTTTTTATTTACATTAAAAATGTTTTGTGTAGGGTGGCGCAGTGGTGCAGTGGATAGCGCTGTCGTGTGTGTGTGGAGTTTGCATGTTCTCCCCATGTTGCCGTCAGTTTCCTCTGGGTGCTTCGGTTTCCCCACAAGGCCAAAGACGTGGTACAGGTGAATTGGGTAAGTTAAATTGTCCGTAGTGTATGTGTGTGAATGAGAGTGTTTAGGTGTTTTCCAGTGATTGGTTGTGGCTGGAAGGGCATCCACTGTGTAAAACATATGCTGGATTAGTTGGCGGTTCAATCAGCTGAAAAGAAAATGATTGAATGGTTGTTTTGTGTACTATTTTTACTCCCACTTTGGATCAGTATAATGTGCATTCACTGGATAAAAGTATACATTTCACTGAGCGCCTAATAGAAAAGGCCGGAGCGAGATGAGTGAGCATGCACAGGTTGTAAATTACAGCTTGTAATGTAATTATTATTATTTTTTCTCTCAGTGAATTTCTTTTCTCTCAAAAATGACGTGAAGTTTACCCAAAATAAATGCATACAAATAATAAAAGTTCAAATTTTCCGCCATTACAAACATTCTTTTGTGCACCCCTGGTCGCAGACTGCGCACCTCTAGAGGTGCACGCACCCCAGTTTGGGAACCGCTGCTGTAGTGCATTTAGTTATAGTTTAAGACTATTTGGTGATTTCAGTCATCATACAGTAAACACCCGTCATCATCACATGCATCCAATCACTCTTTGGATCATTGCGTGTAAAGATTTGAACATCTTCTTGGACACTTTTAATGCTTCCAAGCGGTTTGCTGCATCTATGGAGCGCCCATGTCTTGAGGTAGTTCATTATGATACGATTTACCTTCTATGTGTGATTTGATTAAACAGGAATCACAAGACTGATTTTTCTACTCAGCCAATGTTCATAGACAAGAAAAAATAATGACTGATTGAAGGAATGCAGTGGAGTAAAAGTACTGATACAGCACTAAAAATGTTCTCAAGGGAAAGTACACACTACCTAGTAAATTACATACCTGAGAAAAACTACTCAGTTACAGTAATTTGAGTATTTATAATTTGTTACATTACACCACTGCCGCTCGGTCCCCTCTCCTTCTTGTATTTGAGTATTAGTAAAGTTAAAGGGACATGACAGCCCCCACTTTCAGTTGAGGTCTACCTCAGAATTTTTCAAAAAATGCATCATAATGGGTGTGGAGCTCCGCGACCAAGAGCTTAGAATGACCAAGAGGCGACACTCAATATAACGTGATCGGCCGTCCATTGGATCTTATTGCTGTCGCGATTGCAAGCAGCTGCTTTGTTTTTATTTATTTATTTAAAAAGCGCATTAAAGTTTAGATACACCTTAAAGACGACAATACAACACGTATTATCACGAACATCAGCACTTTTAATAGTTTATTTTACAGACTTCTAATATGCATGTTGTTCTATTGGAGTTTTCATTCCAAAATGGCGGCCGCGCTCTCTAGTGGCTGTTTCCCAAATTACAACAGAGTGTCGCCTCTTGGTCATTCTAAGCTCTTTGTCCACGAGCAAAGGGCAGGAGTGGGCGTGGCCAGGAGGGGAGCGAACAACTGTTGTCAGTCGGCTTACAAAATGAGAAACAAACCGTGAGGAGACGCATGATTTTATAGTTTACAAGGTTAAAATGCAAAGAAATAAATAGTAATTAAATGCCCTGCTACATTTGATATTCGTAATTTCATTTACAGATAACCACAATTAATATCATTATAAAGATAATCATGTTCATATAAACACTATAAATGAGGACTTCTATCTCTATCCCCGGGTCTGAATCATAGGTCTGAATGCAGACTCAGTGCAGCAGGTCTCTTGACCTGTCTATTTTAACCATTAGCCCTGTTGGTAATCTTGAGGATTTAGGCAAACAGCAGCATGGCGATGTGTCTAAATGTAAACGAATTCCTGATAAAAGACATCGTCCGCCATTCTCGTACTGCTCTTCCGACAAAAATGCTTGCTGCACACAAACAGCTTTGCTGTATCAGCCCTGCTGACAGCATCACAGGGAAAAACACGCAACAAACACATACGAGCCTTCATGAACAGCTAAATACTGTGTGCCGTGGGTCCGTGTCTCACAGCTTGGCACTGGCAGGTCTGCCTTGCCTTCAGAAAGCACGTGCAGTCATGAATAATTAAAAAGCCGGCTCTTCTCATAGGATAAGAAAACTCAACTATCAATAATAATGAGAAACCGACGCCTCGTCTTTGCACTTGCAGTTTTGCGCTACGTCGCCGATTTTGATCCCGCCCCAAAAATCGTTTTAAACCCGGAAGCTGAAATTAGCTGACAAAAGCTCAAAATTGTCCATTATTATTATTATTATTATTATTATTATTACCAATTATTTTTCCAACAATTAAAGCTATCAGGTGCTAACATTGTCTTAACTGATGCTCTACACACACAAATCTGTTAAAATCTCTAAAGTACTCGAGGGTTTCTTGAACTTTTAAACCTGAAAATGAGAGCTGTGTTGGCAGCTAGCTGAAATTTGAAATGATCATTTTAGTGAACTAAACAATCTGGTTTAAGCTTGATTAGCATGCATAACAGAGCATTTCAGCACACTAATTTTGAAATCAGTACAATGCTGATTTGAGTTTTCATGTTGAAAAAAAATTAATCATCGGATTTACTAAATTATATTAAGATACTGTAAGCGGTTGCAAACTATTTATATGGGCTGAATTTAAACATTCAATTTAGTCATGTTCAACTTAATTTGTTTGATTAAATTCAGTAGCAAAAGATTCAAAGTAAATCGGCACACTGCCACTTTAGCTCTCAAAAAAAAATTTAATTTGTCAAAATTACAAAATCACTACGTTTCGACCGACATGGTCTTCATCAGGTAAAGCGTTGCAAATGGAAGTCCTCCAGAAATAGTCAAACAGCTCTACACAGCACCTGCAGTCAATTATCACAATCAGCTAACAAGCCGGTAAACAGGAACATTTGCATACAATAATATACATCTAAACAATGTGAAAAACATGCATACCATTACAAACAGACATTTAAAATACAAATACAAATTCTCACTATAGAATTCCTCGGAGACAGTATTCTATAGGCTAAATAGATATAGCGCATCACACCTGCACAAAATCACATCAAACAAACACAAGGCCAGTAGACCTAGGGGCAAAAAACATTATGTACATATTTCGTATACAACAATTCATTCATTCATTTTCTTGTCAGCTTAGTCCCTTTACCAATCCGGGGTCGCCACAACAGAATGAACCGCCAACTAATCCAGCAAGTCTCTACGCAGCGGATGCCCTTCCAGCCGCAACCCATCTCTGGGAAAAGTATACAACAATATAGAATGCAAATACACTTACAAAAAGGATTTTAAATCAAAATCTAAATTCAAACCTCTCGGGGATAAAGTGTTTAGTGTGTAAATGTAAAACGCTTCCCTCTGTAATAAAAGTCAGCCCATGTAAATTGTTTGTAACCACTTACCTTAATAAAAAATTTAGCAAATCTAATGCAATTTTTTAATTCAGTGGCATCGCCAATGATGGCAGCTGCAATTTTTAGAGCTTTTTAAAAATAATTTCATCCTGACTGACAAGACATTTGTCATGGAGCAGATTTGTATCCATAACTGAGTTTAAAACCACTTACATTTCTAAGATTGTGTCCAGATTCTTGCATGCATTGTTGTCACGTCTCAACAAATGTTCAGTTTTTGAAGCGTACAGCGTAGTTTTACCATCACGAGTGGGGCATGCAAGAGTTTTTCATTCAGAAATGTAATAAAATGCAGCATTGTTTTTCTGTACAGCTCTATGATCTCTTCATAAGACCACGATGGTGTGTTTTTTTGTGCATTTGAATAAAAGCAGTGCATATGTTCACAGCAGCGTTCATTGCTCGTGTTTTTTATAATCGCAGTCACATGTCTGGCACAATCAGGTACAGGAAGTGGTTTCTCATGTCAGCAGTTTCTGGATGGGTGTGTGTTTTGGGAGGAGTTGGTGTGTGTTTGTGTGTGTGCGCCTTGTACTCCTCACGTTGTGGAAACCAAAATGAAGAGTTCAGATGCAAAAACCTCTAAGTTCAAGTCAATTCATGTTTATTTGTATTGCGCTTTCACAATGTAGATTGGGTTAAAGCGGCTTCACATGGAAGATTATAGTAGATTGAAACCGTGTCAGTTCAGTTTTCAGAGTTGTAGTTCAGTTTAGTTCAGTTCAGTGTGGTTTAAAATTCACTGCTGAAAGTCCAAACTCTGAAGAGCAAATCCATCAATGCGCAGCTGCACAGGTCCCAAACCAAGCAGCGAGAAACAAAACCTTACCAATTTAAGAAGAGAAGGAAAAAAAAACTGAAGAGAAACCAGCCTCAGTTGGGCACAACCATTTCTCCTGTTGCCAAACTTTTTGTGCAGAGCTGCAGTCTAGGTGCTGGAGGCTGGAGAACGCTGGACGTCCATCGTGGAGAAGCTGCAGGTGTGAGTAGGTCACCAGCGGGTGATCAGGCTGGCCCACGAGATCAATGCGGAGACTCTTCTGGCACAAATTGATCATTTTGGATGAAAATTTCAGATGACATTTAGAGGTTTTTGCATCTGAACTCTTCAAATACTCCAGGATTGGCCAGCCCAGTCACCAGATATGAACATTATTGAGCATGTCTGGGGTAAGATGAAGGAGGAGGCATTGAAGATGAATCCAAATAATCTTGATGAGCTCTGGGAGTCCTGCAAGAACGCTTTCTTTGCCATTCCAGATGACTTTATTAATCAGTGATTTGAGTCATTGCAGAGATGTATGGATGCAGTCCTCCAAGATCATGATGGAGTCAGACACAATATTCATTCTGTTTCCACTGCAGCATGACTTTATATTCTATACTGGACATTATTTCTGTTAAGTGACAAGACTTTTGTCTCAGCAAATTCTGAGCTTACTGTCTTAATTAAATAATTAAAAATCAACTCATGATCATATTTTTGGTAAAATAAGCGTAATCTAGAGGCCTTTGCCTTTCACATAAGCCACTTCTGATACCAAATGATCAACTAGAAGTCTAGTTATTATTTGTTGTTCCTTAAACTAGGATAGGTGACAAGACTTTTGCCAGGGAGTGTATTCCCTCAAGTATAGCAATACCAGTAATTCACCATATTGACCTTATGGGGATCTTTTTTGGTCCCTGTGAAGAAAACGGCTCATAAATCATGAAGTATAAAAAAAATCAAATGCAGATTGTTTCTGTTTTGGGTTGTGTTTGTTTGGAAACCCGTTCCCTCCACTGAATTAAAAATAAATAATAAAATAAAAATGTATAAACTCAGAATTATGAGTTATAAAGTTGCAATTCCGAGTTATAAAGTCAGTTATATGATGTGATTATGGGCTAATGAGCTTGCGTCTTTAACACTTATTGTCAGTCGCCATAATGGGAAACTCAGAATAAAACTCATAATTCTGACTTTGAAACTCGAAATTCAGATTTTATGACTCGGAATTCTGATCTTAAAACTCGGAATTCTGACTATAACTCGGAATTCTGACTTTATAACTCGGAATTCTGATTTTATAACTCGGAATTCTGACTTTATGACTCGGAATTCTGACTTTATGACTCGGAATTCTGACTTTAAAACTCGAAATTCTGATTTTATGACTCGGAATTCTGACCTTATGACCCGGAATCCTGACTATAACTCGGAATTCTGACTTTATAACTCGGAATTCTGATTTTATAACTCGGAATTCTGACTTTATGACTCGGAATTCTGATTTTATAACTCGAAATTCTGATTTTATAACTCGGAATTCTGACTTTATGACTCGGAATTCTGACTTTAAAACTCGAAATTCTGATTTTATGACTCGGAATTCTGACCTTATGACCCGGAATCCTGACTATAACTCGGAATTCTGACTTTATAACTCGGAATTCTGATTTTATAACTCGGAATTCTGACTTTATAACTCGGAATTCTGATTTTATAACTCGGAATTCTGACTTTATGACTCGGAATTCTGATTTTATAACTCGAAATTCTGATTTTATAACTCGGAATTCTGACTTTATGACTCGGAATTCTGACTTTATGACTCGGAATTCTGACTTTATGACTCCTAATTCTGACTTTAAAACTCGAAATTCTGATTTTAAAACTCAGAATTCTGACTTTATAATGCAATTCTGATTTTATAACTCGCAATTCTGACTTTATAACTTGGAATTCTGACTTTATAACTCGGAAGTCTGACTTAATAACTCACAATTCTGACTTTAAAACTTGCGATCCTGATTTTATAACTTGCATTTCTGACTTTATAACTAGGAATTCTGACTTTAAAACTTAAAATTTCAACTTTATAACTCGAAATTCTGACTTTATGACTCAGAATTCTGACTTAATACCTCACAATTCTGACTTTTAAACTTGCAATTCTGACTTTATAACTTGCAAATTCTGACTTTATAACTTGCAATTGTGACTTTATAACTTGCAAATTCAGAATTTATAACTCGCATTTCTGACTTTATAACTCGGAATTCTGACTATAACTCGAAATTGTGACTTTATAACTCGCAATTCGGACTTTATAACTTGCAATTCTGACTTTATAACTTGCTATTCTGATTTTATAACTCAGAATTCTGACTTTATAACTCAGTATTCTGAATTTATAACTTTGAACTCTGACTTTACAACTCAGAACTCTGAGTTTATAACTCAGAATTACAACTTAATAACTTGCATTAAGTTCTGACTTTATAATATTTTTTGCCCTGTTAAATAATTTATTTTTATTATTCAGCTGTGGGAACGGGCTTCCATAGGTTTGGGTGTAGAAACAGTTTGCATTGTTGTATAATACGACAATAAACATAAAGGCGGCAGCAAAGCTCCAAAAATATGAATTTACACTATAAAAATGCCAAACTATTCCTTCATCTTGTCCCAACACAAATCAATTAGGTTAACTTTGTTGTTTTTACAAATTTTAAGTGGCTTGAACATAAAACAATTAGGTTGTCCCCACAAAAATCAAGAATTGTGTTGATTCAGCTAATTTTAAATAAGTAGTTTGAACAAGCAGCAATATTGCGATTATATAAACTTTAAATAGCTATCATGTGTGACGTTTTGAGCGCACCACCTCTTCATGAGTATAAACATTACGTTTATGGGAAGTCCCCATAAAAATAGCTGTGTGTGTGTTTGAGGGGTGTGTGCAGGGGTGATAGAGCAGAAAACTGTTATCTTTCATTGCCAAACTGCATCAGCTCGTCATACACTATAGAGTTGGCACTGGATCTGTTGTGAATTTGTACTCCATTTATTATTACGATCTCATCAAGAATATGATGGTATTGTTGTTCTTATGAAATGTAACTGTAATATGACATTCATATGAAGAGATCTTAATTTTGTTTTATTAAAAGGAGGTGTTTTGGAGCAATGGAAATATGTAGAGGAATTCCGGCTGACAAGGTAAGACAATGAATTTAATCTTCAAGTCAACACTGATAAAAAATAAATAAAAAATCCTGGGTTGTTTAAATTTGACTTTGGGTTAAATATGTACACATTAAATTAGGTAGGTTACATTTAAAATTACATTTTTAACCCTGCTGTTGGGATTACCCATGTTTGACATAGTTTTGTTAAAGGGATAGTTCACCCAATAATGAAAATGACCTCATCATGTGGTTTTAAACCTGTTTGAGTTTCTGTTAGACACAAAAGAAGATATTTTGAAAAATGCTGGCACCCATTGCCCTTCATAGAAATAAATCACCATTAAAGTCAATGGGTGCCAGCAACCAGCATTTTTCTAATTATCTTCTTTTGTCTCCTACAGAAGAAAGAGAAACTAATAGGTTATGAACGAATGAAGGACGAGTAAATTAATTTTTATTTTTGGGTGAACTATCCCTTTAAACAACTGCACATTTTTTGAGTGTGCTGTTGTTCGAAGGCTTTTGTTTTTGCACTGATGACACAAATGATTTTTTTAGATCAATTTAGTTTATAGATAGCCCGTCAGTGAAAATTAGAGAAGGGTGTATTCCCCGCAATTGGGCAACTTTCATAAAGAGCAGCCAAAAATAGTGATAGTGTGTGGTTGTAAGAATGAGCATCTTCACACAGAGAGACATTTAACTGAATGTGTGTCAGTGATAGTAAATAAACCGCAGAGACCGCTTGTGTTTCCTTCAGAAAGAGAAGAGGAGATGAAGAGCTGACCTCAACTAACCATTCAGCACTATCACCACACTTCAGAATGGAGGAGGAGGGTCTGTAAGGGGAAATGAGGAGAAATGCGGAGCAGAGCTGCAGTTTTTTGAGTTCACAGGAACCGAGGGGGAGAAAAACAGAGATGACAGTCGTAAAAGTGGCCTTGTGCTTCCTGATGATCCTAAACATCTTTAAAGGTCAGTATCAAACTACTTGTATTGGCTGTATTATTACCACAAATATTCAAAAATATTGTGTCCTACACATGATGTAATTGCTAAAGTTTTGATTGAGGAAACTGGAAATAATTTTAGAAAAGCATTTAGTTTGTCTTTTGCTTTTTAGATGATAATGTTTTTTTTTCTTCTTCAAAAGTTATTTATTTAACTTATTTATAGAGTTTTATTGAACATCTGCCATATTCATTGATTTATATCTTACTACATTTTTTTAATCAAAAGACTAATTTTGTTTTACAATTATTTGTTATTATTGTGTAATTTTAATTATGATATTAATATTAAACATTTTATTTAAAAAATCTGATTTTAATTTTAAAAACATTATTGTTATTATTAATAGAATTCATTCTTAAGTAAATGTTACATAAAATCTAATGGGTATATTAGTTAAATAATATAATAAATTATAAATATCTAAAATATAAAAATAAAAATGTGACATTTATTTAACTAATAAATTATATATATACACACGCGCACACACACACGCGCACACACACACATACATATCGATCCCGGTTGTAAGATCATTTGGAAAAGTGGCAGAAGGTTTATTTTTTAGATGAATCATCTGTGAAACTGCATCCCAATCATCACAAATACTGCAGAAGACCTACTGGAACCCGCATGGACTGAAGATTCTCACAGAAATCATTCAAGTTTGGGGAAGGAAAAATCATGGTATCTGCAGAGTGGATGGCAACATCAACAGCCTGAGGTTTCAAGACATTTGTGCTGCCCATTACATTACAAACCACAGGAGAGGGCAAATTCTTCAGCAGGATAGCCCTCCTTCTCATACTTCCACATCAAAATTCCTAAAAGCAAAGAAGGTCAAGTTGCTCCAGGTTTGGCCAGCCCAGTCACCAGACATGAACATTATTGAGCATATCTGGGGTAAGATGAAGGAGGAGGCAAGAAGGAGGAAATCTTGATGAAGATGCAAGAACGCTTTCTTTGCCATTCCATATGAGATGACTTTATTAATAAGTGATTTGAGTCATTGCAGAGATGTATGGATGCAGTCCTCCAAGATCATGAGAGTCAGACACAATATTAACTCTTCTTCCACTATTTAATTTTTTCTGTTAAGTGACAAGACTTTTGTCTAAGCAAAGTCAGACCTTACTGTCATAATGAAATAATTATAAATCAAGGCATGATCATATTTTGTTTTGGTAAAATAAGCGTAATCTAGAGGCCTTTGCCTTTCATATAAGCCACTTCTGATACCAAATGATCAACTAGAAGTCAAGTTATTTATTTTTCCTTGGATAGGCGACAAAACTTTTGTGTCAGGTTGTGAAAAATCTTTCAAATCAATATGTCTACTAAATTATACTAAATATAGTCATTTTTAGTGTACATGTATTCTCAGTTTTAAATGTCAATGCATGTTTTGCTCTTCTCAGATATTAGAGCGAATGCAGACATGGTGGATGTTTGTGCCTCTTGTCATCGAAACGCCACCTGTGATGATAAAACTGACGGATCAGGAGGGAAAGTCTGCAACTGCATGTATGGATTTGTCGGCAATGGGAGGACTTATTGCCAAGGTACAATAATTTAGTTTTTCATTTTGGTTAAAGATGACTTTACTTACCCCATTGGCAGATTATTTTGTTTGTTTTAAGGAAAAACTCACTTAATTTTGACACATTATTTCTCCAAACAAGACAATGGGCTCTATGTTGACGGTCCATGCGCAGAGCGCAAAACGCAGGGCGCAAACGCTTTCAGGGCGTGTCAGAACGCATTTTTGCTAATTTAAGGACGGGAAAATCCGCTTTGCGTCATGGCGCATGGTCTAAAAGGGTTGAGTTTATTTTCTTAATGAGTTATAGGTGTGTTTTGAGAATAAACCAATTAGAGTCTCATCTCCCATTCCCTTTAAGAGCCAGCTGCGTCACGCCAAGAGCGCATTCGCTATTTACAGGACGCAAAGTAAGTCTAAGTGGAAAAACTGAGCATTTCACAAGCAAACAGTTAACAGTTCAGTTTTTTAACAGAAAACTGTTAAACAGAGCATCTACTGCGTGAGAATGAGAGATAATGGATCTACTTTCACCTTCACTCTTGGATAGGGAAACCTTTACGCACAGACATCAATTAGTCTATAAATAATTAATTGCGTTTGTTAAGCGCAAATATTTGTTTCAAAACTATTTCTAAATTCAGTTCTAATTTCCAGCAAACGAATAAATGAACAATAATAACAAAATGTGCTCAAAAACCTGAGTTATATCCTAAAACACATGCTGTGCCCCATATGGTCTAAAACCTGACAGGTGGGCAAATCTAAGCTTGTTTTTAATAAAACAAATATAAATATGGATATAATAAATAATACTGCTTATAATAATAACATTATACAAAAGCAAATTGTTATGAATGAACTGAAAAAGCCCCCGAGATAAGGAAGACAGTGATTTTTCATATTTATGTAGGCTAGAAAATAATATGTTTTGTAATATTTTAATCCTTTATATTTATATCCTATATCTATCCTTATTATATTCTTAATATTTAAATTTTTTCATGTGTAAAGATATTTGCCTATTGCTCTCTTGTGAGTATTAAGCAGTGTGTAAGCGAGGCGCAACTCTGCGCCGGAGTTTAGACCGGGTTAGTTTTGGTCTAATGAAAAATCTATTATAGTTTCTCAAAATAACAACGCGCCAGCGGTCCGCCTCAGAACACCTCCTTTTTAGACCAGAACGCCTATGGGCGCACATATGAGTGCTAATGCATTTGCTATTTAAACAGCGTAGCGCAACGCCTCAAAACGACTCTTGCGCCAAGCTGAAACTACCAAAAGACTATTGCGCAGCGCCTTGCGCCCCACTGCGCCGGGTGTATGATGGGGCCCAATGTGTTTTGCTTGTCTAGAACAGGCTTCTCGATTTAAGAATTTGTCGATATTTAGACAAAAAAAAAGACAAAATCATTTTTGCAAGTATATACTTTCAAAATCAATCAGCATAAATCTGAAAATGTTTTATTTATTTAATTTGTGTATTATTTATAATAGTTTTACAAAGTTCAGAAACAGCAAAAATAAAAACAAAAGGTCTTCAGATTCGGTCATTGCTGATAGGTGTGTTATGACTGCATTTAAAATCTGTATGTAAATTGAGAACCGTATCATTCCTGTGTTTCAGATAAAGATGAATGTCAGCTGGGTAAAATCTGTGGCGATCACACCAAATGCCACAACACACACGGCAGCTACTTCTGCACCTGTCTCGCAGGGTACAGCCCGTCTAATCAAATGAACACATTCATCCCCAATGATGGGACGTACTGCCATGGTGAGTTGTGTCTCTTCCTTATAGTATTGTTGTTTTTGCATATTGTGTTTCTCCAAACACGCTGAGATGCTGCCGGATGGGTGTGAATGTGGTGTGGCAAGTGACATATCCTGAATGGCATAATTCACTAGCAAGTTCTTTGAATTTTATTGTGCAACGGTTTCTAACGGGAGTTGCTTCAACTGGAAAGTGTCAAAACAATGTGGAGTACATGCAGTTCTCCTGGTTTGAACAATAAAGAATGAGTCTAAATTGACTGTAAGGCACAAGGAAAGGATCATTTTTAACTCTTTGCATGTCAGAAAAAAAACCCATCCTGATCATCATACTGAGTATAGATGGTTATTAGTTGTAATGATAAATCCTATATTTACTGTATAGGCTACATTTAATGCAGCTAAAATCCTGCACATATAAAAAACAATTAGAGAAGGCATTCATTTAAAACAATATTTATATTTTTTTGTCTATTTAATATTGTATAATATAGTCTAAATAATGTCTATATGGGCATTTCTAAAGTTGGCAGTATAAAGATTGAATTCATTTTGACAGCGCTTGTTATTTAGTTATTTTATTTTCAGTGGGATTCAGTATTTATCCTTAAGTTATATTATTTTATTACATATTTTATTACACATTTGTTACATATTTGTTTTTTATACTTCCTCTTTTTGTTTCTAATTTTAGTTCGAAATGTTTAATTCTTTTGAAAGCCCTTGTTGTTATTTTAGATTCAGCGAGATACAGTTTATATTATTTTTATTATTATTATTTATTGTTTTAGTATTTTTTTGTTTTTAATTGTTGTTATTTTTAAGTTTTTAAAAATGAATATGCTGTGATATTTTGTGAATATTAAATAATATAAACTTTGGATTACTAGAGCTTTATTTTTTTCTAAATTGGACTGATTTTTCAGAATGCTATAATTTTAATATACAACTTAAATATCATAATATTTTGTGATTAAAAGTTGTAAAATTTTAAAGAAAAAGTAAGAAGAATTAAGTAAATCATTAAATAAACAATATATTGCATTTATATTAATTGTATTTCTTATATTAATTATATTATTATAGAAATACATTGTATGCATATATATATAATACACACACACACACACACACACACACACATATATATATATATATATATATATATATATATAGCCCTTAACTTTATTTTTGTAAAAGATTCTGCTATGACTTTATTCTCATGATCCTTGAATTTGTTTTAGATTGCACTAACATAGACGCTGTTATTGTGATTTCAGGCAGCATGTGTCCCCTCAGACCTGATGACGTTGTTTTTGTATATTGTAGATATTGATGAGTGCGTTGTTCAGGGGGTCTGTGGAGAAGGAGGACTCTGTCAGAACACAGAAGGAGATTTTACCTGCTCCTGTCAGACGGGTTATAAAGTCCAGGATGGATCTGAACCCTTTAATCCAAACCGGGACGCAGCTCACTGCAAGGGTAAGAATAAATGTCTTTTACATGCGTACAACAGCAGATCATAAATCATTTTATAATACCTCTTTATAAGATTTGCTTTAAATATAAACAATAATTATCCTTAACAAGCACAATTATCCTAAATTAAATGTGTACCCTGAAAAAACTCTTTTTTTTTTTTTTACCAGATGAAAACGTTGTATAGGTTTGCAGTTTTATATGTACTGTAAAATATATTGCTGCTACTTATGTGATATTCCTTTTATTGTATATTGCTCATAACGTATTATTTTAGTCTGTATTTGCTGTTTTAATGTGTTTATTTGAAAATGTTTAAGAGATTGTTCTCATTCTAAAAATATATATGTTTTGTGTTCTGGCCATTTTGAACATGAGTATAAACACACTCGAACTAAATTCATATATATACTTTTATATATTTATCTTTAAATAAATAAATCTTTTTTACAATTATTTCAAATTTATATATATATATATGTGTATGTATATATATATGTGTGTGTGTGTGTGTGTGTGTGTGTGTGTGTGTGTGTGTATATATATATATATATATATATATATATATATATATATATATATATATATATATATCCCAACACATTTCTAAACATAATAGTTTTAGTAACTCATTTCTAATAACTGATTTATATTATCTTTGACATGATGACGGTAAATAATATTTGACTAGATATTTTTCAAAACACTTTTATACAGCTTAAAGTGACATTTGAAGGCTTAACTAGGTTAACTAGGCAGGCTAGGGTAATTAGGCAAGTCATTGTATATCAGTGGTTTGTTCTGTAGACTATCGGAACAAAATATAGCTTAAAGGGGCTAATAATATTGTCCTTATATTTCCTTTATATTTCCTTATTATTAATATTTCCTTGCTCTATTCATCAAACATCATTTGGGAAATATTTAAAAACGCAGAAAAATTAAAAGGGGGGCTAATAATTCTGACTTCAACTGTATAAGCTGATGTTATATTCTGTCTGAGTAATGGATCTTTATACTATTATTGTACTTTGTCTGCAGTGATTGACTGTGGGTCTCCTCCAGCCGTCCTGCATGCTGATCTGCTCTCCTCCACAGTCAACACACACTACAGTACTGAGCTCCAGTACGGCTGCAGAGACGGCTTTCAGTGGAGGAGAGGACTCAACTCATCTGTTTGCGGCCTGGATGGAAAATGGCAGGGGCCCAGTCTGGACTGTGAAGGTAATATTTACATCTATACACTCAAATAACATTGCCATGACTCATGTTACAGTACAGTAAGAAGATATTTTTAAGAATTTTGAACAAATAACAGCCACTGACATCTATATTAGCCAAATGGGTCACCGAGTCTGTGACGTCATCGACATTTGCTTTAAGATTTAAAGGGCTAGCATTGCACCAGACCCCCTTAGGTGGTGTCGTTTGAAAGTGTAGAACCTATATTTTATGCACATATGCATCACCTTGGTTTTTATCCTACTGTGCAAAAGTTATTTACACTTAAATACACAGTATTTTGGATACCCGAGCTGGTTATTTTACAATGGTTCGTTTTCATATTTTTCATATGACACATGTACGAGTTATAGCTCAAATGAAAGCTCTTGCCGGTGCTCATTCAGTTCTAGCGTTCTTTTTACTGAATTATATTCACATATCAAACAGTTGTTGAATGAATTGTGGTGTTTCCATGGCGCAGAAGTGAAAACAATACATTTATGATCAATAAGCAGCCCCAGATAGCACAGACAGCTGTCATCTCTTACCTTATGCTGTGCCCTTCAGGGCCCTTCTCCTCTGTTTTTGAGGTGATGTGCATAAGTAATCCTTTTATATGTCTGATGTGGCCCAAACACAGTGAATTATGTTTGATCAAACAAAAGAATTGTGAAATATGAAAACAATGATCAGCCCCTGTGGCTTGTACAGCACCTCTCATCAGTTGGAATGCAATAACTTTTGCATAGATTGTGGTGGAGACATTTTACTGTTTTCCTATGATTACAGACAAGTGCAGGAACCACCAAAATTAACTACAGCACGCTAGACCACACAGAACCTAAAAGGTACACTTTCAAATTTGAGTTTATAAAAAAAATGACAAAAAGCGCCTCTTTTTTCAGGTGTTTATTATGACACAGACGACATATACAGATATTTTAAACACCTTCAATAGTGTTTAATGAAAATTCAAAGGGTTTTCTTTAAAATGAAACCAAATTTTTGCATTTACACCTCTGCATGTGGATTTGGGAAGCTTTTAATTTGGGTAGGCAAAATCCAGGCGGAAATCCCAAAATAGCAGCAGAGTTTAAGAGGTTAGAAACAAAAAATTCCAAGGCAGTCAATGGCTGTTTTTTTCCCAACATTCTTCAAAATATCTTCTTTTGGGTTCAACAGGAGAAAGTAACTCAAACATTCTGTTCCTTAAGATTATTTTCTTTTTATATTCAGTACAGTACAAAAAAAGTGTCATTTAACATGTCTGTAAAATTGCCACGGAGAGACATGTTTCAAACATGTTTTTAGTGTCACCCGACTGATGCAATTGAACCCATTTCCATGTAGAAGTGGACTGTGGAGAGCCTCATATTTTTCCTCAGTCAGAACTAATGTGGAATCACACCTCTCGGATGGGATCTTTGGTGCTGTATGTGTGTAAGCCACAGTTTTATAATCGTGGACTTGAAAATGTGTCAGTGTGTTCTGCTCGGGGCACGTGGAGCCGTGCTGACTTCCAGTGTGCAGGTATCTGCTGCTTCTTCACAGAATTTGTGTATAATGACATACACTTATAGTCAGAATTATTAGCCTTCCTGTTCAATTTGAATATTTCTATATTTTTTCCCTAATTTCTGTTTAATGGAGAGAAGATTTTTTTAACACATTTCTAAACATATTACTTTAATAAGTCATTTCTAATAACTGATTTATTTTATCTTTGGCATGAAGACAGTAAATAATATTTGACTAGATATTTTTCAAGACACTTCTATACAGCTTAAAGTGACATTTAAAGGCTTACCTAGGTTTATTAGGCAAGTCATTGTATAACAGTGGTTTGTTCTGTAGACAATAAAAAAAATATTGCTTCAAGGGGCTAAAAATATTGAACTTAAAATGTTTTTTAAAACTGCTTTATTCTTGCCTAAATAATACAAATAAGAATTTTTCCAGAAGAAAAAATATTATAGGAAATACTGTGCAAATTTCCTTGCTCTGTTAAACATGATTTGGGAAATATTTGAAAAGAAAAACTTCATAGGAGGGTGAATAATTCTGACTTCAGCTGTATATTGGGTGTCTGTTGAGCTTCTGTTTGTGTGTGTTTAGAGATAGAATGCGGTTCTCCTGCTGTCCTGCCGCACTCTGTGTTATTGTGGAGCGGTGTCAGTAAGATCGGTTCTGAAGCTCTGTATGACTGTGATGTCGGATATCACAGTTCGGATACAGAAAATAAGTCTGTGTGTAAATCAGACGGTCAGTGGAGTAAGCCAGACTACTCTTGTGAAGGTACAAAGATTTTTATGTCTGAAGAAAACTTTAAAGGGATAGTTTAATTCTGTCATCATTTATTCAGTGTTTTGTTATTTTTGTTTCCTTTTCTCCACTGTAAAAAAAAATCAGTAAATGAGCAGTTTTCTGTATTTGTGATTTATTTATTTTTCCCCCTTTAATTTATGCTTTTGAATTGCATTATGGGATCTTGATCTGTTTTTCAACAACTTTCAACCCTGAAGTTTGAAAAAGGGACTTTTATAAACATTTTAACAGTTTAAAGTGATATATTGTCTGGGTTGGCTTTGTATATTATGCTATAAAAACTTTGTAATAAGCTGACAGTACATTTTCTGTTTAACAGACTTATTTCTCTAATTATTATTATACATTGTTTGCTAGTTTCAGCTTGGCGCAAGAGTCGTTTTGATGTGGTGCACCACGCTGTTTAAATAGCAAATGCATTTGCGCTCATATGTGCTCCCATAGGCGTTCTGGTCTAAAAAGGGAGGCGTGTTGAGGTGTATTGCTGGTGCGTTGCTATTCTGAGAAACTATAATAGATTTTTCAACAGACCAGAACAAAGCCGGTCTATTGTCCAACGCAGAGCGTGTTAGTTGTGTGCCTCGCTTACACACTGCTTAACACACAAGATGTAGAGCAATACGCAAATATCTATACAAATGAAAAAGAATTGAAATATTAAGGATATATATAGGATATAATAAGGATATATATAGGATATAAATATAAAGGATTAAAATATTACAAAACATTATTTTCTAGCCCACATAAATTTAAAAACCACTGCCTTCATGCCTCTTTCATCTCTGGGGGCTTTTTCAGTTTATTCGTGACAATTTGCTTTTGTATTATGTTATTATTATTAGCAGTATTATTTATTATATCCATATTTATATTTGTTTCATTAAAAACAAGCTTAGATTTGTTCACCTGTCAGGTTTTAGACTATATGGGGCACAGCATGTGTATTAGGATATAACTCAAGTTTTTGAACACACTTCATTATTATTGTTCATTTATTCGTTTGCTGGAAATTAGAACTAAATTTAGAAATAGTTTTGAAACGCATATTTGTGCTTAACAAACAAAATTAATTATGTATAGGCTTATTGATGTCTGTGCGTAAAGGTTTCCCTATCCACGAGAGTGAAAGTAAAAGTTAATCATTTATCTTTCATTCTCGCGCTGCAGATGCTCTGTTTAACTGTTTTCTTGCTAGTGAAATGCTCAGTTTTTCCACTTACACTTACTTCATGTACATAGCCAAAGCACCATGACGCGACGCAACTGGCTCTTAAAGGGAATTGGAGATGAGACTCTGATTGGTTTATTCTCAAAACACATCTATAACTCATTAAGAAAATAAACTCAACCCTTTTACACCATGAGCCACGGCGCAAAGCAGATTTTTCTGTCCTTATATTAGCAAAAGCGGATTCTGACACGCCCTGAATGCGTTTACACCCTGCGCTTTGCACTTTGTGCATGGACCATCAAAATAAAGCCCATAAACAATAGAGTTGAATTTTCAACATCAAAGTCGACAGAGCAGAGATCAACATCGCATAAAGCAATTCACAACCGTAAATAAATGGAAAACACTTCTGAATTATAAAATATTCCTTACAGTGTACTCTTTTCAGCTTAGTCCCTTTATTAATCTGGGGTCGCACAGCGGAATGAAGCACCAACTTATCCAGCATATGTTTTACGCAGCGGATGCCCTTCCAGCTGCAACTTATCACTGGGAAACATCCATACACACTCATACACACACATACACTAAGCTCAATTTAGCTCATCCAATTCACCTGTACCACATGTATTTGGACTGTGGGGGGAAACCGGAGGAAACATGCGTGAACACGGGGAGAACATGCAAACTCCACACAGAAATGCCAACTGATTTACTTGGGGATCGATCCAGCGACCTTGTTGCTGTGAGGCGATCATGCTACCCACTGCGCCACCGTGCTGCCCAATTAAAAATAATGTTGCTTTCTTTTTCTTCTTTAAGTGATGATGTATAACAAACATCTCAAGAAACCTGTAAGTAAACATTGTTAAAAGGGACAGTTCACCGCATATTGAAAATTCGCTCTTCATTTACTCCTTCACTTGTTCCATACCTAACATAGGCTCATTCTGAAAATGTAGCCCTATATACATTTCTGGAGATCGTGAATTATGTAGCCAGAAGTACATATGGCTTCATTTCGTCTTTAAAACGAACGCTACGGGGTGGTATTATGCCGTTCCTTTTTGCGCTTACCAGCTGACCACTTACCACACCGCACTTCATCACACTTCACCAAGTGCAAACACAGATACACGAACACTGTAGCATTTTAAAGCCGCGAAGATCAGTTGATTGCTCGTCTGTGTTTTCACTCGGTAAACATCTGTGAAGTGCAGTGAACTGATGACCTTCACGACCACAGTCATTTCTGTTGAGCACTGGTGAACACTTTGGCAAATCAGGGGTGTTGCGTTCAACAGCGCTTAAATGTTAGTGGGAAATTGACGGTTGTAATAAATTTCATTAACGAAATCCAGTATCGTGATTCGTGAAAAGTCTAATATAGTGTAGAATAAGTGCCAACTTTTACTAAATGGCATCTAAACCGTGTGTTTGAGAACGATAACGTTGTCTAACTTCTGCCGTTTCCCTTAACTCAGCTGAAAATGAGGTCTGATATCCGTTTTTTATTTTCATTATTCATTTAAAACAGACCTTCAGGTCACTCGGAAAATGGTGAAATTATGAATTTGTGCCGATTTCTCTTCGCTGATAAGATATACAGCCAGGTACACAACATTCCTGTGTGACTCCAGGCAATACTTCTGGGTTTCTTCCCACCGCAGCCTCGATTTCGCTTTTTAAATGGCGGTGGGTTGAAATCAGTCTATACCAAGGGTCACCAACCCTGTTCCTGGAGATCTACCTTCCTGCAGAATTCAGTCCCAACCCTGATCAAACACACCTGAACCAATTTATAGTACCTTAAGTAGCACTTGATAATTACAAACAGGTGTGTTTGGTCAGGGTAGCAACTAAAATCTGCAGGAAGGTAGCTCTCCAGGAACAGGATTGGTGACCCCTGGTATACACTTCCATAGTCGGAAAGGTAAATACTATGGAAGTCAATGGTTACTAGTTTCCAGCATTCTTTAAAATATGTGTCTTTCTGTGTTCATTTAAAAGGAACTCATAAAGGTTTGGAACCACTTAAGGGTGAATGAAATGTAAGTTTAGGGTGAACTATCCCTTAAAAAAAAAGAAATGGCGCAGTGGGTAGCGCTGTCGCCTCACAGCAAGAAGTTCACTGGTTTGAGTCTTGATCTTGTTTTTTCTTTTGACATAAGATTATTTTGCTTATTTAATATGCAGATTATTTAGCTTGTTTGAAGACAAAACACGTATTTTGGCATGTTATTTCTTAAAACAAGACAATGTTTTGCTTGTCTTAAATTCTTCTTGATTTAAGAATTTTTAGATATTTGGACTAGAAACAAGACAAAAAAAATCTAAGAAAGACATTTTGAAGTGTACGGATTATAAGTTCCATACATTTTTTAGACAAAGAAGATATTTTGAAAAATGTTGCAAACCAGTAGTTTAACATTTTACATTAACATTAACATTTTTCTAAATATCTTCTCTTTTTTGTTCAGTAGATGAAAGAAACTCATAATGGTTTGGAGAAAATGATGACAGAATTAAATTTTTTTGTTCACAATTGTTTTTAGTGTTTAGAAACTCCAAGCAATTTTGTCTTCTTTGTGCGGCAGTGATTTGGTAGTACTCATTGACGTGTCATTTCCTTCTCAACAGAGATTGTGTGTGGCGAGCCTCATATTCTGCCACTCACTGTGCAGATATGGGATGGCAGAGTCACGTTTAACAGCACTGTAACATATCAATGCCAACACGGTTACTATCCTAAACAAGGACAAAATATATCTGTGTGTGCTGAGAACGGTTACTGGACAAAAGCTACTCTGTTGTGTGAAGGTAATTGCTTACATTATTTATTATCAAGACATTGAATGTGAATATGCTTCAAATAAAAATCTTATAGTTATCACCATACTGTATGTCCTTGGTTGATTGATTACATTAAGAATTGCAAACTTTTTTTGAAAATATTTTCTAAGATGTTCTGTTTATGTATTCAAATGAGGCATTTTTTAATTAAATACGTTCTAATTTGCATGAATTTCTTGCACAAATACATTGGATAAACAACAACAACAAAAAAAAAACATTGGATACAGACCAGGGGCCTGTTTCAGTAAGGAGGTTCAAACAACTCGGAGTTTAAACTTGAACTCTGAGTTGATTTACCGAGAGATTAAAAACTCTGAGTTTTCGGTTTCAGAATAGCTGTTCTGAGTTGGGTCAATCAACTTTGAGTAGACCAACTCAGAGTTAAGTGCGCACACCGTGACTATAAAAAGGCATTATCAATGGAGCGCAGATATTATGAGTGACCATGGCAACATCTTAAAAAAAGAGATCACCATTTCTTTCCCCAGCTGAACTTGATCTGCTCATGCAAAGTTTTATCAAATATGAGTGTATATACTTAAAAAGAAGCAACCATCAGTGAAACAGAGACAGTTAGCCTAGGAAAACAGCTGCTCAAGTTAATGCGTAATTTTTTATTTAAATTATTTAAACATTTAAGTATAATAAAATAAGTAATATAATGTGTGACGTTTATACTTTTTTTTCTAAACTTTTATACACGTTTATCAGTTTTAATAGATTTAACAGTGCACTTGTGTGTCTTTTTATTGATCAAGTGATAGAGGTTGATATAACATTAAGAACCTGTGCTAAAAATAATTTTTAGACAGAATAATAATCCCATTAATCTAGTAACAGTACATGTCGAAGGTTAAGCTAAATATTTATGGAAAAAAGGACAAGCCTTGTACGTGACTTTGTTCTGTGTGTGACAAAAGTGTAGGCAATAGCTATGTTTCCATCAAAATACAGGCTTACATAAAATTGTGCAAAACTGGAATAATGCCTAAAAGATGCGAATAAAGCAGCGTTTTTACCCAACGAGTCAAAGAGAACACAATCGTCACTTCCTGATTAACTTGTGCCAAATATCAACAGTAAAAACAGAATTTACTGCGGTAGAAAGCTGCGTTAATGATTTTTTATTTAATACTTGCGCCTCAGAAGACACAATGAACACGTGGGGGCGTTTGAAGCCAGACGCGGAGATCTTGACACGCTCCAGACGCTCGGAGGTAATTAATAATATACACTAATACTGAAACAGTTAAGGCATTTTAGAATGACTAAAACAACATTTAAGATGTTCTACTGTGTGCTCAGTCAGCTGGTTTGTCCATTTACACACATTTTCATCGTCATCTCTAACAAACTTTTTTTTAATGTACATACTGTAATTTGTTAAGTGCACTTCGTAGTTTATGCGCATCTTTTCTTATCAAATAAAAGTTTAACCTACTCAGTTATGCAAATGTTTTATTATGCATATTTTCAAAAGTTATGTGAATCATGACGTTTCCATCAATCGTTTTTATGGGCATCTCCAAAATGAGCTCCAAAATAGGTGTGTGGAAATGTAAGACTAATGCGAGAAATACGCTTCATCTTTAAAAAAGGGGAGGAGACCGACAGAAACTCAGAGTTTAGAGAATAAAACCTGCTCCGGACCAGGTTAGATTCACAGAGTAAGTTACCACAGTAACTGACTCTGAGTTAAAGTTACCTTTCTTTCAGAAACAGGCTTGACTTACCCTGATTTCTTGAGTTTAACAAACCTGCCATTTTGAAACCGAAAACCCAGAGTTTCTCTCATTTCAGGGTTAAAATACTCTGAGTTTTCACTTAACCTCCTTTCTGAAACAGGCCCCAGTTCTAAATTGTGTCATTTGTTTACATGCAGAGACAAACAATTTTGTAATTCAAAAAATATATATTTTTAGTAAAGAATATAATTTTTATTACTTGTAGAATAAAATATCTATAATTAAGAAAAATTATGCATGGCAATATTAATCCTAACCGTCAGATTATAGATGTGAATAACAAAATTAAATTTTAGTTCATGTACAGTACTGTAAGTTCTGCTGACCTCTGGCATCAAGGCATTTGCGCCCACAGAACTGCCACTCACTGGATGTTTTCTCTTTTTTATACCATTGTCTGTAAACCCTAGAAATGGTTATGCGTGAAAAATCCTAGTAGATCAGCACTTTCTAAAATACTCAGACCAGCCCGTCTGGCAACAACAAACATGCCACATTCAAAGTCACTTCATCATGTTGACCATGTCTACACGCCTAAATGCATCGAGTTGCTGCCATGTGATTGGCTGATTAGAAATTTGCGTTAACGAGCAGTTGGACAGGTGTACCTAATAAAGTGGCCAGTGAGTATATATCATTATCAAACATTTTTTTTGAAAGTGTATGTAACATTAGACTGAAATAAAAAGCCATAACGCCCACAATTTCAAAACTGACTTTTGCATGAATTTTTCTTTCTTTAATTTTTGCATGGCTCACTTTAAATATAAGTGTAAAATCTGTGCCTTTAATGTTTGAATTGCCAATATTTAGAGTTTTTTGTTGTTCCTCAGAGGTGCACTGTGGATTACCGCCTTCTCTCCCGCTCGCGGTTATGATATGGAGAGGAGACACTAAGGTTGGATCTAGTGTGTCTTATAAGTGCATTGAGGGATTTCGTAATGTTAGGAAAGAAGAAACATCAGTTTGTGATTCAGAGGGAATCTGGAGTCTGCCTGATTTTCTCTGTCAAGGTATATATTTATTTTTCCATGTCAACTTTCCTCTTAATTTATGATATGGTCATTCTTAAGAAATGGTGTTGTTTATGTCTCTGCCAGTGCCAAGTTAAGACACAGTTATTTACAGTATATAGTGCTTTATAACTAATCATTCATTTTTTTCATTTTAGTCCCTTCATTCTTCAGGGGTTAATTTTTTAAGAATATGAGCCAATGTGCCTTGATGTTTAATGTTCACATTGTAATTTTGTTCTGCATACAATAGTAAAACACATGTTTGTTTATTAATTTAAGAGTATTTTTCAAGTTATGCATTTATCATTAGTTCATTAGTTCATTTTCATTCATTCATTTTCCTTCGACTTAGTCCCTTTATTCATGAGGGGTCGCCACAGTGGAATGAACTGCCAACTTATCAGCATATTTCTTACATAGCAGATGCCTTTCCAGCTGCAATACTGGGAAACAGTACTGGGAAACACCCAGACACACTCATTCACACACATACACTACAGCCAATTTAGTTTATTCAATTCACCTATACCACATATGTTTGGACTGTGGGGGACACCAGATCACTCGGAGGAAACCAGCATCAACACGGGGAGAACATGCAAACTCCACACAGAAATGCCAACGGGCCCATCCAGGACTTGAACCAGTGACCTTCTTGCTGTTAGACGACAGTGCAAACCACTGAGCCACCGTATGAGTCTGTGTGGGCATCCGCTGCATAAAAAATATGCTAAAATAGTTGGCGGTTCATTACGCTGTGGCGACCCTGGATTAACAATGGACTAAGCTGAAGGAAAATGATTGAATGGCTGAAATTGGCCATAGTGTATGAGTGTGTGTGAGTGTGTATGGGTGTTTCCCAGGCCAGTGCTGGGTTGTGGCTATAAGGCCATCCACTGTGTAAAACATACAGTATGCTGGAATAGTTAGCAGTTCATTATGCTGTGGCGACCCAGGATAAATAATGGACCAAGCTAAAGGAAAATAAGTGGATGAATGAAATTGGCTGTAGTGTATGAGTGTGTATGGGTGTTTCCCAGTACTGGTCTACGGCCGGAAGGGCATCCGCTGTGTAAAACATATGCCAGAATAATTGGCAGGTCATTCCGCTGTGGCAACCCTGGATAAATAAGAGACTAAGTCGAAGGAAAATGAATGAATGAATGAATGAAATTGGCTGTAGTGTATAAGTGTGTATGGGTGTTTCCCAGGCCTTTACTGGGTTGTGGCTAGAAGGCCATCCACTGTGTAAAACATACAGTATGCTGGAATAGTTGGCAGTTCATTAGGATGTGGGGACCCTGGATAAATAATGGACCAAGCTGAAGGAAAATAAGGGAATAAATGAAATTGGCCGTAGTGTATGAGTGTGTATGGATGTTTCCCAGTACTGGGTTGCGGCTGGAAGGGCTTCCGCTGTGTAAAACATATGCCAGAACAGTTGGTGGTTCATTCCACTGTGGAAACCCTGGATAAATAAAGGACTAAGTCAAAGGAAAATGAATGAATGAATGAATAAATGAAATTGGCTGTAGTGAATGAGTGTGTATGGATGTTTCCCAGTACTGGGTTGCAGCTAGAAGGGCATCTGCTGTGTAAAACATATGCCAGAACAGATGGTGGTTCATTCCGCTGTGGCAACCCTGGATAAATAAGTGACTAAGTTGAAGGAAAATGAATGAATGAATAAAATTGGCTGTAGTGTATAAGCATGTATGGGTGTTTCCCAGGCCAGTACTGGGTTGTGGCTGGAAGGCCATCCACTGCGTAAAACATACAGTATGCTAGAATAGGTGACAGTTCATTCCACTGTGGCGACCCCGGATAAATAATGGACCAAGCTGAAGGAAAACGAGTGAATGAATGAAATTAGCCGTAGTGTATGAGTGTGCATGGATGTTTCCCAGTACTGGGTTGCGGCTGAAAGGGCATCCGCTGTGTAAAACATAAGCCAGAACAATTGGTGGTTCATTCCGCAGAGGCAACCCTGGATAAATAAGCGACTCAGTCGAAGGATAATGAATGAATGAATAAGGAAGAAAGGAAGGAAGGAATAAATGAATGAAATTGGCCGTAGTGTATAAGCAATTATTGGTGTTTCCCAGGCCAGTACTGGGTTGTGGCTGGAAGGGCATCCACTGTGTAAAACATACAGTATGCTGGAATAGTTGGCAGTTCATTCCACTGTGGCAGCCCCAGATAATTAAGGGATTTTTATACAACACTGAATTTATTTTCCATGAGTACAAAAAACAGGGCAGTAGTATTGAAATGTTGCTTTGTTTCTTAGTATTTTAAACCTGTATGTCTCAATTAAAACAACATGCTATTACTCATTTTCTGAGAAAAGTGTCACTGTCAAGACATTATTATTAATCTCATCATATTGTCACATTACCAACTTCACACATTTCTTTAAGAATGACCTCTCAGCGGTGTCTGTCCTCATGAATGATCTGGTAATCTGCATGCACATGTACAGTGTGTCTGTATGTGTGTTTGTGTAGAAGTAGACTGTGGCGTCCCCGTCTCTCTGCCTCATTCAGTTGTGTTGTGGAATAACAGCTCCAGTCTGGGCTCCGTGGCCCTCTATGTGTGTCAAGCTGGATTTCACACTGTGGGTGAAGGAAACGTGTCTCTGTGTCGTTCAGACGCAAAATGGAGCAAACTTAACATGAGATGCGAAGGTACTGATAATATTCTGGCTTCATTTGTCATTCAAAGCATGCGTGACTTTTTTCGTCTTTCGTGGAAGAAAACACATTGATGCTGCTTTAGCTACATGGTTTCGATTGGAAGTCATTTATTTCTAACACTGATCTCGATGAACAGAGATCAACTGTGGGCCTCCTCCAGAATTCCCACACACAGATTTAGACTGGAACAAAGCATCTACACTGGGAAGTGTGGTTCAGTATAAATGTAAATCTGGACTCAAACAGGAGGGTGACAAAAACATGACGATGTGCAAATCAGACGGAACGTGGGAAAAAGTGTCTGTAACGTGTTCAGGTAAACAGGTTAATTGCTGTTATAATAATATACACCACCATTCAATGGTAATGTTAGATTTAAGCAAAACAAAAATCATATATCATATATATATATATATATATATATATATATATATATATATATATATATATATATATATATATATATATATATATCGACAAAAGTCGTATCGTCGATCCCAGTTGTAAGAGCATCAAAGTGACAGCTCACATACCTTTATTTCTGAGAGTGTATGTGTACAAATATTCTTCTACTTGTAGTGTTTTTATTTTTATTAGCCTTTATTTGGCTAAATTTGACAAAAATCAATTTTTTTTCCTTGGCTCTGGTGTGACATTTGCAAAATGGGTTCAGTTGAACTGAAATCTTCCTTTTTTTTTGGAAAGAAAGAAATTATATGCCAATACGAAAACTGTCACAAACAAGGAAAACAAAATACATTTGTCACAAATGTCCTATGTTGGTCCTGTATTTAACACTCATATCCTGAATGATATTCTTTAGCATGTCTCTTTTGTTTTTGTTATTCTCCTCTGTAGCACACTGTGGCCCTGCACCAGAGCTGCCGCACACTGAGGTATTATGGGACAACAGCACTGCAGTCGTTCACCGCTGTGTTAAAGGACACTACAGACACGCCGGAAGTGACATTTCAAAATGTGACATTACTGGAGAATGGCAGGTTGCCACTCTCCATTGCAGAGGTACACAGTCAATGATCCTCATTTACTAAATCTACTACTATTTACTAAAGTAAATTTGCTGGTATTCGTTCAATTGCTTGACAATATAGCACACCTTAAAGCAGGGGTGCGCAAACTCGGCCCTGGAGGGCTGGTGTCCTGCATAGTTTAGCTCTATCTCTAATCAAAAGCACCTGAAAATGTCAAACAGTGTCTTCAAGATCACTAGAAATCCATAAGTTTGATTAGAGTTGGAGCTAAACTGTGCAGGAAACCGGCCCTATAGTTTGCCCACCCCTGCCTTAAAGAAATGGTTTAACAAAAAACTTAAATAACCCAATGATTTACTAACATTTAAGCCTTCCTTTGTGTATATGACTTCTTCTGAACACAGTCATTAGTTTTTTTTATATTTTACTCTTGCATGGCTCCTCCAAGCTATATAATAGTGTTAGGTAGCAACTCTTTCTTTTGAAGCTTTCCAAAGCATATAAATCTGTCAAAAAACTATCCCATACGCCGCCATATAATGCGGTTTTCGTCCGGGCCGTGGTACACTGGACCAGCTCTGTACCCTCACCAGGGTGCTCGAGGGTTCATGGGAGTATGCCCAACCAGTCCACATGTGTTTTGTGTCAACAAACTTGTGTCTGTTGCATATAACCGGTCCAATTTTCTTGTGATTCTGCGTGTTCCAGAGCTGAAGCTGACAATAAATGATCTGGTGGTGTTTAATGAAAGATGTCTACGCTGGAATGCAGAGAATGAAGGGTATAGGGAGAAATACACAGTGAGTGGAGCTTTACTTATATGACTACACATTAATTCATTCATTTTCTTGTCAGCTTAGTCCCTTTATTAATCCGGGGTCGCCACAGCGGAATGAACTCCCATCTTATCCAGCAAATTTTTACGCAGCGGATGCCCTTCCAGCAGCAACCCATATCTGGGAAACATCCACACACTCATTCACACACACACACTCATACACTACGGACAATTTAGCCTACCCAATTCACCTGTACCGCATGTACCCCTTTGGACTGTGGGGGAAACCGGAGCACCCGGAGGAAACCCACGCGAACGCAGGGAGAACATGCAAACTCCAAACAGAAACGTCAACTGAGCCGAGGCTCGAACCAGCAACCCAGCGACCTTCTTGCTGTGAGGCAACAGCTCTACCTACTGCGCCACTGCTTCGCCATGCCTACACATGTAAAAAGCTAAATATCTTTACACTGATGGTTTCTCCAAATTGTCTTTCAGTCTTTCATGAGATGTATGTACAGTCAAAATGACTGAAGTCAAAATGATTCGCCCTCCAGTGAATTGTTTTTTCTTTTTTTTTAAAAATATTTCCCAAACTATGATTAACAGAGAAAGGATTTTTTCACAGTATGTCCTATAATATTTTTTCTTCTTGAGAAAGTCTTATTTGTTTTATTTTAGCTAGATTAAAAGCAGTTTTCAAATTTTTAAAAACATTTTAAGATCAAAATTATAAGCCCCCTTAAGCAATATTTTCTTCCATTGTCTACAGCAGTGGTTCTCAAACTTTTTACCAAGTACCACCTCAGAAAAAAATAAAATAATAACCATAATGACCAGTAATGAAATAAAGCAGCTACAGCACTGCACAGTTTAAAAACAAGTCATATTGATATTTATACAATTTTTGATAGATATTGAAATAAACGTTGCATGTACATATGACGTATTTGTAAAACTTTTTGAAATCTGAACATTAACTTGAATGTAGATTGCTTGGGAACCTGTTTTTCTCAGAGGATGTCAAGCTGACAGAGTATTGCTGCACTCTGATACGAGTTTTAATTATGGAGAAAATTATGAAGCACTGCAGTGTTTGGGTGTTCTGTGTTTGAGATAATTAGTCTAATGAAGTTATGTTCTACATAAAACATGAAGCTGATCAGTTGATTCTAGTCACGTGACTCGCGGTGCGGCATTCTAAAAAGTTAAGATATTTTAACTGGGTATGCCTGGAATACGCAAACGCATTGCGCTGGAGTTCTTACTCATTTTTCTAGCCTGTGGGTTAAATTTTGACGCTCAAGTGACCGAGATGTAACAAGAGAATACGGTCATTTTTCAAAATTGTATAATTTTTTTCTTTCATTACTCAGTGATTCCTCCGTGTACCACTAGAAGTAAGCCTGCACACCACTAGTGGTACACGTACCACAGTTTGAGAACCACTGGTCTACAGAACAAACTATCGTTATACGACTTGCATAATTAACCTAGTTGAGTCTTTAAATGTTACTGAATACTAGTATCTTGAAAAATATCTAGTCAAATATTATGTGCAGCCATCAATAGCAAAGGTAAAATAAATCAGTTATTAGAAATTATTATAGATAAAAATTATTATTATAGTTATTAAAACTATTATATTTAGTAATGTTGAATAAAATCTTCCCTCCGTTAAACAGAAATTGGGAAAAAATATACAGGAAGGCTAATAAATCTGACTTCAACTGTATATCTTCTTCTCTACACAGGTGACGTTTGTTGGATTGCGAGACTTTGAGCATTTCTTCAGTGACAGGAGAAAGATGTTGTTTACCTCCTCTGCAGTTTGGCCTGTTCTCTGCTTAAATCTCCTGCCAGCAACAAACTACACCATAACAATCACGGCCGAGTCCACACGAGCCACGGCTACAGTTACAGCAAACACTAGCATACCAGGTACTGCAGTGAATCTGCTATTACTGTACGTGCATCTATAAACCAAAAACAACATTTATATTTATTTTTTCAACATTTCTAACTTATTTTAGCCACTTTAGGCAAGGAGAGGTTATTTTTATAGCAGATTTTATACACAGTGGTAATATTCAAAGTGCTTTACATAAATAACAAACATAAAATACAAGTATAAGAAAAACAATGAAGAATAAAACTGATGAAAACTAAAAAAAATAAAAAGACAAAAAATAAAAAATAAAGACACAAATATGATATATTTTGGAGCTAAATTTTGTGCTGGTCAAATTTTATTGAGCTTTAAAGCTTAGTTTAAGGGTGCTTTCACACCTACACTTTTGTTTCGGAACCTGTCTCGTTTGCCCAGTTAGCGCGGTTCGTTTGGCATATGTGAAACCACCAATCGCGCTCGGATCCGCGACAAATCAATCACTCCGAGATGGCTTGAATGAGGTGGTCTCGGCTCGATTGAAACGAACTCTGGGGCGGATCGATTGTAGTGAGAAAACGATACGACATGAGCCTGATTATTTCACAGTGTATTATGGATATGTAAAAGGCGTGAGGTCATTCCAGACATCCCATGTCTCCCGGAAGTTTTAGGAGTCGCCCGCAAATGCAGATAGACTCTCAGATGCACGCAAACGGGTGATAATCTCCAGGAAATTGTGCGTTTTCTCCCGGTCCTCAAATACGTCACACACCCTTCTCACCCCTCCTCACCGCATCCCTCTTCAGACACGTTGCGTGCACCTTGTCAAACACCACCAAACCACCACCCCCCTGACAGCTGAGCAGCACTTTGCAAAATAAACCCTGACACTCTGACCAATGTGAGGAGAGTTTACTCACACGTGACTTGTTTTAGCTCTTTTGGTCCGTTTAGAAATTTTGCCGTGTGAAAGCGAACCGCACCAAGAGCAAAGAGCAACAATGTAACAAATGTAATCTCTGTTTCGGAACAACTGAATCGATTCACAGGTGTAAAAGCACCCTAAAATACATACAGTTTAAGTCAAAATTATTTGCCCTCCTGTTATTTTTTTTCTGTTTTTGTGCCGCGTTGTTTAAGTAGCAAATCCATTTGTGCCTTTTTGTAGACTCATGGGTAGGGCCAGACGGAATCTGTGGACGTTTTTTGCTATCTCTGCGGAGAATTTTGGTAAAAATCTGTGGATTTCTACGAATTATTTTGGGAGTATCCAGCGGAGTATCATAACTTACACTTTAATATATTAAATAAAAAGTAATAAATTACTGAATAAAAGCTGAATAAATTCTAATTTACACATTTACTCAAATAAATAAACAGAATTTATAATGGGTTAAAAAACTGCAGAAATCTGCGGAATTCTGCGGAAAATCGGCGGAATTCTGCGCGCGCAGATTCCGTGTGGGCCTACTCATGGGTGTGCTGGGCTGAAAATGAGGTGTGTTGGGCCCAAGCCATTAACCAAATAAAAGATGGTCTAAAGTAGGCTTAAGTAAACCTCCTCCCTATTTCACCTCGGTATACGGTATTACCGTGCATAATAATAAAAATTATGATGTAAGGCTCAGATAGCATCACTAAACTTTTGCCGCGTGCCTAAACTATTCATAAACTGAATACAGTATGTGACCTAAGGTTCGCGGTCACCTGTTTGTTGCACGATTTGCAAATTGTCTTGTTCATATTGATTTGGGGGGGTGGGTGGGGGACAGAAGAGCAAGCCCAAAAACCACCCAGCTAGATGATACAGAGTTCAGACAGCCTATAACAGCACGTGCTCGCTCACTCGGGAGCGATATTGTTAGACCGCCCACTCCGGTTCAAATTACACCAGAAGTACCGACCGCTCCCTCGCTTTATTCGGAAATTTATTCCTGCACTGCAAGAAATCTGGTCGGGTCCTGCTCGTAATACAGTAAGTAATACAGTAATGCAGACCTCTAGTTCATATTTACCACGTCTCCATTCTTGTTCTGTCAAAATCCGAAATACTGCCAAACTGCAGTGGTTGTGTTCTTTTTTGAGACTAGTTCACTTGGTATGCGATGCCATCTTACCTCCCTCTCTCTCTCTCTCTCTCTCTCTCTCTCTCTCTCTCTCTCTCTTTCTCTCTCTCTCTCTCTCTCTCTCTCTCTCTTTCTCTCTCTCTCTCTCTCTCTCTCTCACTCTCTCTCTCTCTCTTTCTCCTCCACAGTGTCCGGTGACGACAATCACGCATACGCATTTTTAGGGATTAAATAAATAATGTTTAATATTTAATACTTGTCTCTTATATAAGTGCATTGTTTTTTATGACGATATAATGTCGGTATTGAAACTGATACTGTTGCTATTTTTAAATCCCGCGGTATACCATATTACCGTATTACCGCCCAAGCCTAATCTAAAGTCCAGTGCAAAGAGCGTTAGTTATGTGTCTATGCGGGTCCAAACGCTTACACGTTGCTTAATACACACAGTATGCACAGCAATACACAAATATCTTTACAAATGAAAAATAATTAAAGGATTAAAATGTTACAAAAATTATTATTTTCTACAAAAATATAAAATCCACTGCCTCCATGCCTTCAGTTTATTCAGGGGTTTAGTTTATTCATGACATTTAGCATTGGCATAATGTTATTATTATTAGAGGTATTATTTACAGTATTATATGCATATTTATATGTGCTTTAATAAAACAACTTTACATTTGTCCTCCTGTCGGGTTTTGGAGATGTCTACATCACCATATGGGTCATAAGAATAGGACGTGTGTTTAGATATAGCTCAGTTTTTTGACCACACTTCGTTATTATTGTTCATTTATTCGTTTGCTGGAAATTAGAACTGAATTTAGAAATAGTATTAAAACAAATCTTTGTGCTTAAAAAACTCAATTAAATACGTAGGCTAAAGGATGTCTTCAGTGGAGTGAGTTTCAACTGTTTCCTTACTCCACGAATGTAAAGGAGTAAAGTAAAGAGAAAGTAAAGAGGTCAAATGGGGGACGCTCATTCTTTATCCTCGTGCTGCAGATACTCTGTTTAACTGTTTTCTCACTAGTGAAGCGTTCAGTTTATCCACTCACAAAGTCCGCCATGTAAATAGCTAATGAGCCATGGCGTGACGCAACTGACTCTTAAAGGAAATGAGAGACGAGACTCTGATTGGTTTAATGCATGTTATGCTCAAAACACACCTATAACTCTTTAAGAGAATAAGCACAACCCTGTTAGACCATGCGCTGAGGCGCAAACCATATTTTTCTGTCCTTAAAATAGCAAAAGGAAATTCAGACTTGCCCTTAATGCCCTTGTGCCATGCACTTTAGCCTTTTGCTTAGACTTAAAATACAGCCCATTATGTTTATAAATGTGTTGAAAAAAATCTTCTTTCTATTAAACAAAAATTGGGTGGAAAAAAAACATACAGGGGACTAATAATTCAGGACGGCTAATAATTCTTACTTCAACTGTATATATGTTTTAAATGATACATGCCAGATTTCATATTTTCAAACACAAACAGTTGCATTAACACTTGCTGGGTTTATAATTAAGTGCCATTGTGTGTGCTTATTGACTTCCAAACCTCTAAAACAAATTGTATTTGTGTGTGTATTTTGACTTGTATGCTGTTGTTTTGTGCTCTGTTAGTTCCCCCAACACCAGAAATCAAATACAGTGAAGTAGAGGCTTCATCGCCCACTCTCAGACTGAGAAGATCCACCAACACACTCGACTCAATATGGTACGAATGTTTAATTCATAAATGTCATCTGGGCTACAGATAAATGCAGTGTGTAAATTGTACAAATGAGATCGTACAAATTCATGCGAATAACCACTAAATCTAAATGTTACGAATTGCCATAAGATTGTGTTTGTATGTTATTAAGACTGAAAATGATTATCATTTGAATGTCTCGTTTGCCTAGATGATGACTATGCTGTACCATTTCCAACTCACAAATAATTCAACACTTCAAATAAAAAATAAAAACGTTAGATTTGAGCTTTAAATCAGACCGCAGTAGGTAGCGCTGTCGCTTCACAGCAAGAAGGTCGCTGGTTTGTGTCCCAGCTGGGTCAGTTGGCGTTTCTGTGTGGAGTTTGCATGTTCTCCTCGTGTTGGCATGGGTTTGCTCCAGATGCTCCAGTTTTCCCCACAGTCATGCGGTACAGGTGAATTGGATAAACTTACTTGGCTGTAGTGTAAGTGTGGGTGTTACCCACTAATTGGTTGCAGCTAGAAGGGCATTTGCTACGTAAAACCTATGCTGGATAAGTTGGCGGGTAAGAGAAAATGAATGGTTGAATTAAAATATATAATATAATATAATATAATATAATATAATATAATATAATATAATATAATATAATATAATATAATATAATATAATATAATATAATATAATACAATACAATATAATATAATGTAATATGACATAATATAATATAATATTAAAATATAATATAATATAATATAATATAACATAATATAATATAATATAAAAATATAATATAATATAATATAACATAATATAATATAACATAACATAACATAACATAACATAACATAATATAATATAATATAATATAATACAATATAATACAATACAATATAATATAATATGACATAATATAACATAATATAATATAAAAATATAATATAACATAACATAACATAACATAACATAATATAATATAATATAATATAATATAATATAATATAATATAATATAATACAATACAATATAATACAATACAATATAATATAATATGACATAATATAATATAATAAAAAAATATAATATAATATAATATAATATAATATAAAAATATAATATAATATAACATAATATAATATAATATAAAAATATAATATAATATAAAAATATAATATAAAAATATAATATAATATAACATAATATAATATAAAAATATAATATAATATAATATAACATAATATAATATAATATAATATAATATAATATAATATAATATAATATAAAAATATAATATAATATAATATAATATAAAAATATAATATAATATAATATAATATAATATAATATAATATAAAAATATAATATAATATAATATAATATAACATAACATAACATAACATAACATAACATAATATAATATAATATAATATATATAATATAATAATATAATATCTGCTATATCATCCCCATATTCCAGCACACACTGCATAAATCAACTATTATTTACAATTTTATATTCAGTTGCTAAATGATATTTTTACGATGTGTCTGTGTGTTCAGCATGTACGAGGTGTTTGTGTTGCCGGTGGAGGGTGTGATGCTGTTTGACTGCAGCTCCTCTTTAAGTCGGCACTTTTCAACACAGCAGGGCTGTGATGGCGGATACGTCACGGCTCAGATTCAGCTTCGAGATCTGAACGCAGAAATGAACTTCACTGTGGGCGATCAGCAGCTCTACGGAGACTTCTTCAACGCTCCTCTGCAGAACGGAAAAGACTATTTCATTATCCTGCGCACCGTGTGTCAGTGGGGAAAGGTGAGACCCAAGATTTAGAAGAAGAGTAACGAGTGTACAGTTGAAGTCAAAATTTTTCACCTTCCTGTGAATTTTATTTTGTTTTTTTTGTTTGTTTTTTTATTTCCCAAATGATGTTTAACAGAGCAAGAAATTTTCACAGTATGTCTGACAATATTTTTTTCTTCTGGAGAAAGTCTTACTTGTTTTATTTCGGCTAGAATAAAAGCAGTTTTAATTATATTTAAACTATTCTAAGGTCAATTTAATTAGCCCTCTTAAGCAACATTTGTTCTCGATAGTCTACAAAACAAACCATCATTATACAATGACTTGCTGAATTATCCTAACCTGCCTAGTTAACCTAGTTAAGCCTTTAAATGTCACTTTAAGCTGTATAGAAGTGTCTTGAAAAATATCTAGTCAAATAATATTTACTGTCATCATGACAAAGATAAAATAAATCAGTCAGTAGAAATGAATTATTAAAACTATTATGTTTACAAATGTGTCTCTCAGTTAAACAGAAATTGGGGGAAAAAATAAACAGAGGGGGTTAATAATCCAGGAAGGCTAATAATTCTGACTTCAACTGTAAGTGTTTTTCAGATTATTTGGTTATTTTTTCACCTCTTTGGTTTCTCTTTGGCAGTCCAGAACACAGTCCTGCATAATCTGGGCTAAAACTAGAGGTAAAGATCCAACCAAATGCATCTACATCTTCCACACATAACATGGCTAAAAAAGAATCCACATACAGTTAAAGACTAAATTGTTAGCCCTCCTGTAAAAATTATCTTCATTCATTCATTTTCCTTTAGCTTAGTCCATTTATTCATCAGATGTAGCCACAGCCAAATGAACCGACAAATTATCTAGCATATGTTTTACACAGCAGATGCCCTTCCAGCTTTAACCCAGTACTGGGAAACACCCATACACTCTCACATTTACTCTTTTAGACTACGGACAATTGTCAACTGCCCCAGCCGGGACTCAAACCAGCGATCTTTTTGCTGTGAGACGATAGTGCTAATCGCTGAGCCACTGTGTTGCCCGGAAATTTCAGTTTTTTTTTTTACCAAATATTTTTTTAAGTTTAACAGAGAGAAGGCATGTTCAAAATATTATTTTAAATTGAAAACTTAAAATTAATTTACTCACCATTCTGAGAAACAAAGTGGGAGTTCTGACTTTGTAACTCGCAGATGTGATGTTTACTGTATCTCAGAATTTTTACTTTAGGGCGGTGGCTCAGTGGTTAGCACTGTCGCCTCACAGCAAGAAGGTTGCTGGTTTGAGTTCCGACTGGGTCAGTTGGCATTGGTGTGTGTAGTTTGCATGTTCTCTCCATGTTGGCGTGGGTTTCCTCCGGGTGCTTCGGTTTCCCCCACAGTCCAAGGACATGCGGTACACGTGAATTGAATAAACTAAATTGGCCGTAGTGTATAAGTGTGTGTGAATGTGAGAGTGTATGGGTGTTTCCCAGTACTGGGTTGTGGCTGGAAGGGCATCCGCTGCATAAAACATATGCTGGAATAGTTGGTGGTTCATTCCGCTGTGGCAACCCCTGATGAATAAGGGACTAATTAAAAAAATTATAATAATTAATGAATTCGGACTTTATAATTCACAATTGCTACTTTTGATCTCAGAATTCTGATTTTATAATATTTTATCTCAGAATTGAAAATTTATTTCAAAATTTTGACTAATTTTCTTTCTCTCAGAATTTGGCTTTATTACTCAGAATTGCAACTTTTTATCCCAGAATTTTGACTTCATAACTCGCAGTTGCTACTTTTGCTCTCTGAATTCTGATTTTATAATTCACAGTTGTAACTTTTGATCTCAATTCAGACTTTATCGTTTTTTTTATCTCAAAACTGAAACTTTTTCTCTCAAAATTCTGACTTTGTTTTTTTCTCTCCCAGTTTGCCTTTGTTACTCAGAATAGCAACTTTTGATCTCAGAATTTTGACTTTATAATTTGCAATTGTGACTTTTTATCTCAAAATTCTGACTTTATACATTTTTTTTCTCAGATTTTTAACTTTATAACTTGCAATTGCAACTTTTGCTCTCAGATTTCTGACTTAACATAACTCCAAATGCAAGCCTATGCCTCACAATTCTGAGAAAATGTCACAATGCTGAGATTAAAAAGTCTCAATTCTGAGTTTTAAAGTCAGAAGTCTGACACAACATATTCTAATATTTAAGAATTAAAAACCTTTTTATAAAGTCGTGATCAGTATAGATAAATATAAACAGCAATTCTGTTACAAAGTCAGAAAACTGAGATAAAAAGTCACAACATCTTTTAAAAAGATTTTCATTCAGTGGTGGAAACAGACGTCCATAGAAATAAAACTTTCTCCAAAAGAAAATGAAAATAGGAAAATTGTTCTTGCTCTTTTAAACATCACTTGGGAAATATCTGAAAAAGAATTGAAACTTCACAGGAGGGCTGATCATTTTGACTTTAACTGTACATGGTGAAAATAGAGAGAGAGGTATGTTTGGCTTTGTGTTTTATTTTGATCCGTCATGAAATGCTGATATGCTCAGTGTTTTAAAGTGACATCACACCACAAGCATATCTGTGGCCAAAAGCTCTTTTGAGTACACTCTGTTTTGTGCAGTGTAGTAATATTCAACACTTACACTGTTAATGATTTTTGTAAATAACACAGTATTTAACTGTAATATGAACTGTATTTTACTTTAGGACAGTTATGCGGTATGTTGCATTGTGAAAATGACTGTATATTTTACAGTAAAGACATACATCAAATTCTGTAAATACATACAGCGCAAGATAAATGGTGCTGTACATGTAAATAAAGCAGTTTTGCTGTAATTGATTTACAGTACGTTACTGGAGAACTGCTGCCATTGTTACTGTAAATTGTACAGGACATTGTTAAGTGTGTAGGTAAACATACTTCTTCATAGATATATACTTCTTAATAACTGTTAATATTGAATGGATGAACTGTAAAAACACTTTACTAATTATTTGCAGTTAAACATAGGCATAGAGAGGTATACTGTAGATAATATTAAACAGCATGTAAATAATTTCTCATCTTCTGGCTCCAGGGACACACTACATCATGAAGATATCTGCTTTGGTAACTGTTGGATCGATTAGTGCTGTCGGCTCAGTCATTATTGTGGGATACTGGTACAGCTGGTGAGATTGCATTGTGTTGTATTTATATTTTGACAGGACACTGCAGGTAAAAGAGTTTGGGCTTTTCATAAAGTATTTTCTTACCACTGAACTTTTGAAAGTTTATAATTAAAAGAAATGTGCTATTCTTAATGTAATAAGTCAGTTTAAGCAAGTGTTGTGATAACTATTAGGTTTTTTTAAAATACTAATTCACCTGCAGAGTCTCGCCTTAATATATGTGATCCAAATATTGATGCACTTCTTTTAAGCACATTCAAATGATTATTATTAATAATATTATACTTTTTTTTTTACAGGTACTGTAAAAAGTCCAGTCCTAGGCATTTTTCTCAAGTTTTATAAAAACATCCTGACATACTGATACTTTGTTTTTAAATAAAGCTGATTGTCTTGTCATAATCATGAATCATTGTTTTTTTAGTCCTAATAAAATCCTGATCTTCATATTACATCCAAAGTAGATTTAGATGCAATACTGTTTTTTAATTTAGGTGGAAAAAATATTACTTCTTATATCTGTCCTCTAGGTGGCAGTGCACTACCATTGTTTTTTTTTTTTCATAGCAGAAAGCAAGTGAAATATTGTGTCTGGTGGAATGTTCAATCCATTTTGATTTGAATTTAAAGTTTTAGTAATTTTATTGTATGTTTTTAAAGTACATATTTTAAAATAATTTTTTATATATGTTTATATGTTCTGTTTTAATTTTTGCATTTATTTTATTATGGCAAGTTTAATTAAATGAACACAAGACACCAAGAAATGTTGTTTTGGCACCTAGATGAAACAAACAAACAAACAAAAAAAACATTGAGGTTACTTTTAGATATTTTTAAAAGTTTTCTTTTATTGTATTTTTATATAATATAGAGTTAACATTTGAAGTGGTTAAAATCTTTCAGTTGTCCTAAAACTATCAAACAACACTAATTCCTGTCTAAGGACAATATAGATTGTGTGTATGTGTATGTGTGTGTGTGTGTGTGTGTGTGTATGTATGTATGTATGTATGTATGTATATATATATATATATATATATATATATATATATATATATATATATATATAAAATATATATACCTCCATCTGCACTTAATGATCATGGCCTCCCAATCATCTCCATCCACCGAATTAGCTCTATCACTGTCTTTTCACTTCACCATTAGCTGGTGTGTAGTAAGCGCACTGGCGCCTTTGTCCTGTGGCTGCCAACATCCAAGTGGATGCTGCACACTGATGGTGGTGTGGAGAGACCCCCTTCCTCATGATTGTGAAGCGCTTTGGGTGTTAACACAATAAATGCACTATATAAATACACATAACATTACATATACATTACAAATGTTGACTTGTGTGTTTACATATAATATTTTTTTTTATCTATATAGACTTAGATTGTGATTATTTTATTTTTAATAAAGTTGTAAGTTTCAGTTGTGTTTAACTAGCCAACTGCTGTTTTAAAATATTTTGTGGAAACAGATACCATAACTTTTAAAATAGTGGATCCTTACATGTTTCCTACATTTTTAAAGATTAATATGATCAATCAAATGGTGAAATGATGATGTAATAAATACAATTCTCAACATATCTGCTCAGATTTAAACATTTAGCTTGAAGTTGTGTGCACGATAAGGTAAAATTAAATAAGTTTTGTGTTTGTACATGGTTGTCCATATTACAGTATCGGAAAGGCTGTCAATCAATGAGACGTGACACAATGTGGGCGTGGCTTTGTCGTTTCAACCTGTCAATCAGTGTGTGAACGCGCGCGGTTTCTCTTACCTTAGACATTTTGTTGTGATTTTATTAGTCGCGTACAGTTTTAATTCCGATTTAAATCTTATATCCTGTTTAGATAAAAGAAATCCACTTCTTATATCGTTCGCCATTTGAGAAGAACCAAATTTTCAGACGTATTTAGCAGGACAGCTTGAGTTATCGCTTTACACCGTAACGTTAACGTTAGGCTGTTTTACATCAGAATGATTTTTCATTTATCACGTTAATTTGTCGTATTATTTATTATTTATTTACCAATTCCGAGCAGCTGAGGTGAAAATGTGCAGTTTCCCCCGAAAACTCGACTCCAATTCAAAGGAATCAGCAAGAAAACCTTACATTTGACAACTTGTGACTTTTTATTAAAATATAGTAAATTATTATTTAAAAATATATATTTTTTGAGATCTTTTGGTGTTCTTTCAATATGAGTAATCACACCATGTCGAATATCTGTGGCCAAACTCAACAAAGCGCCAGTTTCTCGACGGTCAGGTATAAAGGGATTGATTACATCTCTGAGGTGAGTCATTACACTGATACGATCACTCTCAACAGTGTTATATTATTTTTAATTTGACATATGTCCGATTAAATCACGATAATATTGCCAAGTAAATTATGTTTTTGAAACCGAATAAACATTAACATGCATTGAGGTGCATTGGCAGTCAGTTGATAATATGAAACAGTTATTTAATATTAAGTGTTTTATTATGTATGTTTTAAGTAAACTATTGTGTCATATTATAGGATGCGTGTAGAACAGGGGTCACCAAACTTTTTGTAACTGAGAGCTACTTGGGTACCAATCACTGTGAAGGGCTACCAGTTTAATACACACTCAATTTTTCTCAATTTACTTTTAATTATATCTCTTTATTATTAATGATTAATGATGTTCATCTATGTGAAGACACTGATCATGTTAATGATTTCTCACAATAGTTCTCAACAATGATTTAACAAGGTAAGAAACAGAAACATCAATATGCAACACTTTATTTGTCTGAAATAGTTTTAGTCATATATATATATATATATATATATATATATATATATATATATATATATATATATATATATATATATACCCTAATGTCATTACACATTTTAAACCAATGCAGGTGTGATTTAAAAAGAATAGCTTCAAAAAATACTAGATTCAGCTCACTGGTATGTGGTGCAATGGTGGGCTATTTTTAGAACAGGCCTGTGGGCAACTCATGTCATCCTCATGGTCTACCTGGTGACCAGTGATGTAGAAGAAGAGTACGATTTGTGAAATTACTTTGTAAGACATCTGTTTCAGTTCTCAGTCAGACGCAAAATATTAAGGAACATGTTAGAACTACCGGTTCCGTTCCAGCTGTTCAGTAACATCTACCCTCACAATGGACAACTGCAGGACATCACTTACCGAGCACCATGGGGTAAATGTGCCATGATTGTGTTTATCTGGTGTTTACATTGTCAGTGAAAAGTGTGGGATTATGATTAAAGAAATCGTCACCTTGGAGTTATAAGGTTCTATCTGCATTCTAAATGATTTTGAGATACTGAGCTTCAAAGTTTTTGCATTCCATAGCAAACAATATGCGTGTAACATTTGTTTTTTTTTAAATAAAAAGTCTTAAAATTTAAACAACTTATAAAAAACATCCTATAATTTAAATAAGTTGCCATTCAATAAGAATATGTCAATAACTCAATTTTGACTAAAATGTCAGATAGAACCTTATAATTCTAAGGTGACGAAATGTCTTTAAAGATTTACAAAGATGGTCAAGGAAATAATAATGTAAAAGTAATATTGATATATTAATATAATAGTAATATCAAAAGATGTTCAAGAAAATAATATTGTAAAAGCAGAGGTAGAAAGAGTTCTGAAAAATCATACCTACAAATGTACATTAGTGCAAGTAGAGTAAAAGTATCTGTTGTAAATATTACTCAAAGTATAAGTAAAAAGTAACCCTTTCAAAAGTACTCAAGAGTAGTGAGTATTACGCTGTAAAAAGCTGATAAGTTCACATATAATTTGTGGATGTGTGTAAACGTAACATTCTGTAGTGCATCTAGTTATTGCCCAGCCCAGCAGACACACAACATCATAAGACGTTAATATTTGGTTTGATATAGGCTGTGATGTCAGGTGACCAAAATTCAAAGTCTAGCCAGCATCTAAGGACAACCTTATTTTGACGTCCAATAACGACATCAAACAATGTTATATAGAAAGTGACCAAAATCCAACGTCGAGCTAACATCAAACCAACATCATATTGACATCAAACACTGACATTTATTCGTCAGTTATGGCAACCAAAATCCAACATCTGATAGATGACATTGTGGTAACGTCCACACAATGTCAAGCTGTACCATCTTTAGATGTTGATGTTTATTTGATTTTATGTTTGACATTGACGTCGACCTGACGTCAACTCGATTTTCATTTTCAAACAAAATGCAAAATCCACGACGTTGGAGATGTCTTTTCCCAGTTGTGTCTTATGCCTGCTGGGTGTTAAAGGCCATTTTGATCTTCATACAATAAACATTCGTCATCTTCTCAGCAGTGACATGCATCTAAACAGTCCCTGGGTCAATGCATGTAAAGATTTGGGGCATCTTCTTGGACACTTTTAATGCTTCCAAACAATTTGCTGCATTCATTATGTAGTTTATTATGATGCGATTTACCTCTCGACTTCTATGGGATTTGGACAGGAATCACTGGACTAAATATTCTAAGCACTATAGACAGGAAAAAAAAAAGTAGTGACTGCAGGTTAAAGGAAAGTAGTGGAGTAAAAGTACCGATACTGCAATAAAAATGTACTCAAGGGAAGGTAAAGGTACACATTTTTAAAACTACTTAGTAAAGTACAATTTCTGAGAAAAACTACTCAATTACAGTCATTTGAGTATTTGTAATTTCTTACTTTACACCACTGTGTAAAAGTAATATTGTTATGTTATATTATGTATATTAACATAATAATATAAAAGTATTATTGATATATTAATATAAAACTAATGTTGTGTTTGTTTGTGTGTATCAAGGATCTTGTAGAAGGATCATTAATGTCATTTAAAAAATAAATAAAATCTTTTGAACTTTCAGTTCATCAATGAATCCTGAAAAAACTGCAAAATTGATCAAAACATTGATGTTTTATTAGAGCACAAATTTAGCTTTGTATAAAATTTTGAAGCATTATTCTTAGTCTTTTGATGTAAATACAGTATTTTGCTTTCATTATATATAAATGATGAGCTTTGCTCTTAAAATATTATCTATGTTGCTTTGCTGTGTACATTATCTATGTTGCTTTGCTGTGTACTTTGCTGTGTTGCTTTGCTTTGCTTTGTGAACATGCAGTGATTTAATGATTGAATGTCATTTGTGACAGCAAACAAAAAAGCCATGTGTACTCTACAAGTGACCGGATCTATATTGGAGGACTTGAAGGCCAGCTTATGTTTCCCAGAATGCTTGGAAAGGTTTGAATTGTTTCTATAAAGGGATAGTTCACACAAAAATAAGATTTTATTTCAAAATTCATGTTCAACTATATAAACAGTTAGTAAACACAAGTACATC